TGACCTATCTGCAGAACCGTCTGGCAAAAGGAAATTTTCAAGTTCCTTGAGAACCGCTGACATTGTTTAAACTGCTCATTTAATTCAAAATAAACTGTCATACCTACTCCTATTGTTTTCATTAGAACTGCATCTGTTCAGGAGGTAAACTATATGAAGTGGAATGGGCTTAAGATATTTAGTCGCTAAAAAGTGATTGCCAAGAAATCAAAAGGTTTGCAGAGGCTCGTCAAAAGACTGATATTCACCTGAACTGACTTTGATAGCATACAGGTAAATTCAAGCGGTTTTTCACGTTTCTCAACGTGTTCGGTCTTAGCGATTTGTCAGAACACACGAAGTTTATGGGATATGCACGGAAAAGTTTAATCCACATACGCTCACGTATCATGGACTATGCGTAATTAGCCTCCAGGAAACCCATTGGTTTGGATACTTGCACAGATTCGAGATCGCTTCCAGTTGGCTCCAACTAGAAATAACATTCACGACTGTTGTTTGGCTGTCAATCCTGCTAGGACAGAGCTCCAGCCACACTGCCTCCTGTGTCTTTAGCCTGGTCCATCTAAACTGGTAACCCGATTGCCCCAACCACCACAAGGTAGAATATAACACTCACGGCGGCTGAAAAGTGTATTAGTTGACGACGATTTGGAGAGAGTGCATAGTGCGATAACCCCACCACAACGAATCTACCAAGCTCTTGTGTCTTGAGAATTTTATTTACCATGCCTTTTAGTTCGCACTGATAAACAAATTGGTCGTTGACAGTGAAACAGATGAGGTCCAGTTGAATTGAAGAAATTCTCTGATCTTTTATAACTCCTCCCACAGTAGTAGGACAGGACAGACATTCAGCTCCATAGGAAAGGTTAATTACAATAATGAGGATGGATGAAGTCACTATAGGATTCACTTCCTTGAAGATTGATGTGAAAGGCTATAAATTAATCACTTTAAAATAGGAATGAGGAAACATGTGAACTTACTCGGAAAAGATTTAAATAGCGTGTAATCCTTAGGTCCTTTGTCAGAAATAGGTCCCGTGTCATTAGATGACAAGATGAACTCATTTGCGAATAGGCCTTAACTCTAAGAGTGATAGAATTATGGATTTTTCTATTCCAAAAATGACTGAAACCCCTGGGGAGGAGCTTTATTGTCGTATGCATGCAGTTATATAGGTATATTAACCACATTTATGAAGACCAGCAGACGGTTTCACGTCAACTACCCCACAACACTCTGAGGTTGTTAGACTCACTGTCAGTTGCCTGTATAGCAATGTGAGGGGGCTGAGAGGGAAAGTAGGTGAACTTCGAAATCTCCAAGCGCACCTTCAACTGAAAATAATCATTCTCACTGAAACGTGGCTAAACCCCACTATCGCCGACAATGAAATCAGTATAGGTGATATGGTACTGGTCAGGAGAGACAGGGATAATAAGGAAGGAGGGGGAGTTGCTATATACTTTGATAGGCAACTTAAATGTGTGCGCGCAACGGACCCACCACTTATCGAACTCCCAGACTCCATATGGTGTCATTTCACCGTAGGCCACACCAAGCACTTACTGGGTGGCATCTACCGATCTCCCACCTGTGGGGCAGAGCACAATCAGCTACTGCTCAGCACTATCACAGGAATACGAGATTTGGGCTACGACCAAATCACCATAGCTGGAGATTTCAATGCTCCATCACTGAACCTTGGCTCCGGGTGTGCTAAGGGAAAATTTGGCCGAAACCTACTGCAAACTATTGGAAACACGGGACTGACTGAGAATGTTGGAGACGACACTAGGTGGGGCCCTAGTGGTTAGGATCCTCGCCTACCATGCACATGGTTCGGGGTTCGAGCCCACACCGACGCACACCCGATATCTATGGTCGCCTGCGAATTTTGGGCTACCGATATCCACGCTGAAAATTCCATACTTGTACCAAAAATACAGTGTGGAATCAAGCTGTAAATCAAAAAAAAAAAAAAAAAAAAACTAGTGACCAGCTACTCGTCGAAAAGGTCCAGATCATGACTCCTCTGGGAAGCAGTGACCATGCAGTCATAGGTTTCGATCTTGTCCTCCGTGAGCGTTTGCAATGGGATGTTACGCGACCATGTCTGTGCTACAGCAAGGCTGACTATGCTGAAATGCGGAGGCTCTTGTCCGACGCAGACTGGCCCTTAGCATGGGACGACCTATCTGTGGATGAACACTGGGAAGTGGTAAAAAAGATTATCCATGCAGCAATCTCGGATACCGTCCCTTTAGTCACAACACAGCCTAAGAGAAAGACGTCATGGTTGAAGAGAGGCACGCAACGTATTCTGCAAGCAAAGCGGAGGGCTTGGTTTACGTGGCGTGTATCTAAGAGTCAGACCGACCATGATGCATACCTCGAACTCAGGAACCGGTGTAATGCAAGAGTTAGGAGGGACAGAAGGTCATTCCAGGCTAACCTTGCTAAAAAACTCCTATCAAACCCTAAAAACTTGTACCGATTCATGTCGGAAAGAAAACCGACAAACCAAGGGGCATGCGCCTTAGTAGGCCCAAACGGTCAATATCTCACTAGTCTGGAGATGGCTGAAACATTCAGTTCAGCCTTCGCTAAACAGCTAAACAGCAATGTGGATATTACAGTTACGGACCAAAATGGTGGCACCACTATTTCAGAGGAGGAAGACCTAGCGACTACTCCCCAAATAAACCCCGCAATAGTACTAAGGAAGCTACAGCGACTCATACCTGGGAAGTCCCCAGGTTGTGATGACATCAGGCCATCTGTTCTGAAACAGTGCGCCGAGGCTCTCTGTAGACCCCTGTGCGACTTGTTCCAACACTCAATGGATTCGGGGACCCTGCCAAGGGAGTGGAAAAGAGCCATCCTTTCTCCAATCTTCAAGGGTGGGGACAGGCAAAACGCTGCTAGCTATAGACCAGTAGCTCTACTCCCAGTGGTATCAAAAGTACTGGAAAGTATTATTGACGACCACATCAGGGAATATTTCGATAGGACTAATATACTGCATGAAGCCCAACATGGTTTCAGAAAAGGCAGATCCTGCGTCACTAACCTACTGTCAGCTTGGGACGACTGGACATCATGCTGGGACTTGAACGTACCAGTCCATGTGGTCTTCCTAGACTTTGAGAAGGCATTTGACACTGTTCACCATGACCTTCTCCTACATAAAATAAGCCAGGCAGGCATAGGTGAGCCACTTCTGTCATGGTTGAAGGACTACCTAGCCGACAGGCAATTTTGCACTAAGGTTAACCGAGTCCGATCATCTTGGCACAGATCGTCATCAGGAGTGTCGCAGGGTTCTATCCTAGGACCACTGATGTTTTTGATTTTCATCAATGATCTACCACGCCGTCTGAGCTGCCCGACTCTCCTGTACGCTGACGACGTAAAAATATGGAGGGCGATAAAGTGTCCGGAGGACTCAGATAGGCTACAGGAAGACCTAAACCTTCTGGAAGACTGGGCGGTGGCCAGTGGCATGACTTTCAACTTGAAAAAGTGCAAAGTAGTGAAGTTGCGCACCTGTAGACTGCAGAATGCAAGTTACACCCTGTGCAATGAAAGCTTGTCCTGCACAACGTCGGAACGCGACTTAGGTCTAGTTCTAACGGAAAAAATGGACACAAGCGTAAATTACACAGGGGATGTAGCGAGGGCATATGCGGTCATACACTTTACGCATAGACAGTTAGGTGCACTCACTCCTGAGCTCTTTCTAATGTTGTACAAAACATACGTCAGGCCACACCTTGAGGTGCATAATATTATTGCACCCCCAATGCTGAGAAGAGATGCCAACCTCTTGGAAAGAGTCCAACGACGGGCAACAAAAGGAGTGGTTGGTCTCCGAAACAAACCATATGATGAAAGGCTGAAGAAATTAGGCCTGTTCACACTTAGTTACCGTCGGCTTAGGGGGGATTTGATTACTGCCTACAAAATAACAAATGACCAGAATCACCCAAACAAAGGTGTTCTGCCATTGAGTAGGTATAGGCTTCCACGTGGAAATCCCAGAAGGATAGCTCACCAGAGGGCAAGGACCCGGGTGCGCTCCCACTTCTTTTCACTGCGGGTTTGTCGTCCCTGGAATTCCTTACCGGCAGATGTAGCTATGGCACCGTCTTTGGACGCCTTTAAGCGAAGGCTGGACAACCATGCAGCGATACAAGGACTGCATCCAAATGGCCTATCTCCTTAAAATCGCATTTACCAATCAGGGTAGATAATTAAACTCGTCATTTTACTTCTTTACATTCTCTCCCGTCTTACTCTCCTGACAACTTATTAATATTATAATTACTATTATTATTATTACTATTACCGATATATATATTATTCTTCAAACTTCATGAGCTGACTGTTGTTACGTTTCCTATTTTCGTTTCTGTCTCTTAGTCTGAATAGCTTCACTAATTATATCTATTATTATTATTACTATTATTATTATTATTACTATCTCTTTTCTCTTGTCGACAATACCGAAGGACTAACTGGCGAAAGGATCAACTCCAATCACAGTAGTAACAGTCTTAACATACCTCATACTACAAACCACATATAATTAATCCCAGCACTACTCCCTTTGGAGTCAACCAAAGCTACGACAGTCGAGTGGCGGGACAAGCTACGCAGAAGTTTACCGAAGATCAAGAACCTATACCTCACAATCAAGAGGCGAGCACAAAGAAATCAAATTGGTTTATACTAGCTCGTAAAAACGATATTGGATATTGGATATTGGACCTAAATAAGAGAATATCGCTCTCTTGGAAGAGTGATCGGAACTGCAATCACATGAAAAAGAGTGGGGCAGTGTCATTTTAAATATCACAATGAACATTTGTCTAGATCAAACTATTTGTTAGCATTCGCTACAGAATACTTAGTTGAGGGTCAAGTTTGGAGACGCGCGGATTCGATTCTGTTTGCATTCAAAGCCATTCGCAACGGCAAGGTCGTTCGGCATGGTTAGTTTAAATGTTCGTTAATTAAACAGTTTTTAGGAAGACCCGTCTTTGCAAATCCATTTTAAGGGGCATAAAGATGTTATCAAATGTGTGGACTTTAACCCAAACGGAAAACAACTTGGTAACCGTGGTAGAATAACATTATTCTTTTTAGCTTCCTGTTCTATGGATGCTTGTTTGATGGTTTGGAATATTAGGCCTCAGACAAGAGCATACAAATTTACGGGTCATAAAGATGCGATATTTTGCGTTCGATTTTCCCCGACTGGTGAACTAATTGTCACTGCATCTCGAGACAAAACAGTGAAATTATGGGTCCCGAGCATGTAAAACCAAATTGACTTGAGAGTAATAAAATTTAGAAAAGGAGAGTCTATAACATATCGTGCACATACAGCAGCTGTCCGCTGGGTAGATATTTCTTCAGATGACATGAAGATTTGTACAGCTTCTTCGGATAAGTCAGTGAAGGTAAATTTTGGTTGAAGGTTATTTGCTCCTCAGGTTTGGAGTCTACACAGACAGAAGTTTTTGTTTTCTCTGAATCAGCATGTAAATTGGGTGCGGTGCTGTCGGTAAGCTACTGAATACCTTACTGGATCAGATTTTCCCCTGACTCACGTCTCATTATTTCATCATCAGATGATAAAACTATTAAATTGTGGGATACCGAGACACAAAGCTGTGTCCATACTTTTCACGAAACCAATGGTTTTGCTTCTCACTTAGATTTTCACCCCAGTGGCAACTGTTTCGCAGCAGGTAGTACTAATTCCTCTGTGAAACTTTGGGATCTACGCATGAATAGACTTCTCCAACATTATGACGGTAGGTAACTAGTTTTTCCCCATTCCGTACGCTTGATATATTTACCAGATTTTTCTCATCTCTTATGTTTTTCATGCTGTACTTTGTAGAATATGGTAAATATGTGATGCTTGGTTGTACTTAGTTGCATATTAACATTGGTTTACTAATATCTTTGACACTCAATGTATAAACCAACACTGTGTTATTTCTACTTTAGGTATTATGTAACCGGTGTCATGCATCTAGTCCCTTGTTTGGCGTATACCGAATTCTATCAGTCAGTCTTGCTAAGGAATGCCAACAAGCTCAAAACCTAGGTTCAAGGCATCCTTCTGACTGCCTCCAGTCACGTAATATTTACATGCCTAGTTAGCATGGACTAGATTTCAGTATTTTACTGTTATGATTTTGTAGGTAAGATACTTTCAAATGTTTCAGCCAATCCAGTTAGTGGGAACCATGTATTGCGAAAATTAACTAAGCTGTTAGCTGGACTTTCTAGTTTTTCAAGATGTGTTGCATCAGACTATATTCTTAACGTACAATAGAAAATTCACCTTCATAAATCTGATTGTTTCAAAAATAAGTCTTACGTTCAGTTCTCATTTACGGAGTTTCCCTGTATAGAACGATTCATTTTTGACTTCATATACGTAATTCCACATTGTCCTGGCTACTATTACTATTGTCTTTCAAAAGGTGCGTTTAATCACCAGCGCTGTTAACAATCTTGGTTGCAGGTGCATGTTGGTCAAGTAGCGTATGTAATCAGTAAGATGCCTATTTGTTCAGTGTTTTCTTCACTTGAGAATCAAGTCCGTAGATTCCCTTGAATTTCGATTTCGCCTAGAGACACATCCTAATAACCAAGAAAGTTTCTCATATACTCAAGGTGTTTTGTCGCTTTTTGTGTAAAATTAAGATCCGTAGTTATTTAGTCGTAGCTATTATTTTATCATTTTCGTATCGCTTTAATTTGTCTTTGTATTTACTGATGTATGTTTTACCTGGTTACAGCTCATAATGGACCCGTACACAATGTCTCCTGTCATCCAAATGGTCATTTTCTTTTATCTGCATCAGAAGATTCTACTCTAAAGATATTTGATCTTGTTGAAGGGCGTCCCTTGTATACTCTTCAAGGTCACACTGGACCTGTTACTGCAGCTGCATTCTCTGCTTCTGGTGATCACTTCGCATCTGGTGGGAATGATGAACAGGTGAGTAATAAACTAGCCAAAACAATCTTGATGTTTTTAGCGTGTTTAAAGTTACACAGCATATAAAATAAACTATCAATAATACTTGTAAGGGTTCATTTATATCAGTTTTATAAATGAATACAAAGAAAGATGCTTTTTAGCGATTTATTTATTTGAACTTGTTTTCACTATAATTTATTCTAGGCATTTCGGGTATTAGTATTATTCATTTTCACCGGCTGGATTGATGTTTCTTATTGCCAAGACGATTAAGTGCATAAAATACTGTCGTACTACTGTACCTAACATTTTTGAGGACGGAAGTGAATTATTAGTGTAACTAGTAAATATTTCGTAGTCGTGTTAATCATTTGAAGGATAACTTCTTGTTAGTGTATGGCTTACTGCATAAGTCATTTTTAAAGTTGCAAAGAATAGGCAACGGGAAAAGTGAGAAAATGTCACCATTTGCTGCAATAGTGCCATTTAGAGACTACATCCATGCACATTATTTTGAATAAATTGACTTTAATAGCTAAAAATAGGGGAATGTGCAAGCAAACCATGAGTAAGACTATTAAAGAATAGAGGACGAAAATATACGTAGTAATCAATTCCTATTTAATTATTGTTGATCAATGTAAACGATGTGGTACCTGTCCTAAAAGGCGACAAGAATTTTACTGCGCCACTATGTTATGAGATACGTAACTTGTAATATGAATTAGTGACTTTGTCTCAATTATCGCCATTATTAAGCCACTGATAGACGTGAAGTATTTTGTTTCAGTTCATAAATGGGAGAAGGACTAAAAAACGATCCCCACTCTTTTTGAAAACATTGTGTGGGGCATAAACTATGCTGCAATTTGAAAACAGAACAAGTGTTGGTGCCGAACAATATGGATCCACTCGTTTTCGTCGGCTGTCTTCAGCTGAGTTCAGTTCATAATATTTATAAAACCGGTTGTAACGCACAAAATCCATACAAAAGCCATTACTTGAAAATTGATCTAATGCTCACTAGCGACTAGCCCCATTCTGACAATGACCTAGAGTTGTAGTGAGAACCCGCGACCAGTAGGGTGCAGTAGGTTGAAAGTGAGGCAGTACTTCATCGAAGAAGACGTCGCGAAGTGGTCGCGCTATGTCATAAATTGGCAGAGGTTAGGATTCATGGGCTGACCATTGAATCGGGTCCCAGCGGCTTAATGGTTTACGAGCTCGCCTTGTAACCAGAAGGTCCTGAGTTTGAACCCTGTAGTATGTGTGAGTCCCAAACTAGGACGAAACGATTTCCAGTACTCCTAGGTTTTATAATGGTTGTCTAACTGATGTCAGTCAGCTCATGATGAAGTCCTCCGAACAACCAGACAAAATCCTTACAAAAAGCCACTACTTAACAGTTGTAACATACTTTCTGTTTGTCATCATCAACCGGCCCCCCTGTAAGGATTTGTTTAAAGAAAGTCATAGTGGAACAAAACATATGTATACTTATAACTGGAGATAACCTTATCATCCTTATGATTTGTTTCACTATGTCTTTCTTACAACAATCTTTACTGGAGGGTTGATTCACGGTGATAAACAAAACGTATGTTGAAATTGTATTGTAACTAGTTTTATTGAATGTTATAGGTTGTACGCAGCTGCAATTACATCGACTGAGAGAAATGGTTAGGGCATGTGTTATGCGTACATGCCTAGTCATCCATTCCTTTCGTCGACGGGCGACATAGTCAGGTTGGAAAAGAGCAAGTCAGTGGTGGTCAAACGAAAATCAACATGGCCTCATCAGTCAATGAAATCCACAACAGTTAGTTTAAACCAGCCAGCCACTTAAGTAGGTTTAGACTAGCTTCCTGGTTGGGGTCCTCGGGACGGTAAACATCAAAAGCTGGAGACAGTTGGTGATATGGCTCAAAATCCTCGTGCTCAATGACTTGTGCCGATGCATCCACTCCCTGTGACTTATAATACACTCCACTTATAATACCAATAAAACTACGTTGTTCTTCGACATTACTATTCTTTTTGCCTCATATCTCTGTTTACTGTCTCTATTTTTCATTTCTTTTTACTTTCTTTTGCTTTGTGGGCTACATGGAGTGTGGTGACTTGAACTGCTGCACATCGGTGCAAATTTCTACATTGAAACCAGTCATTCATTCATTGTAGTCACCTAATGAGAACCGATGAAATAAAATGGATCCATATTACTCCGCATTAATATTTGTACTATCTCCGTTCAAATTTATAAGAGGAAATCTGTGTGTGATTTAATTCTGTGATTGAACACAGTCTTATAGGAGATTAATCGCTAATCAGAATAGCTCAGTGGCAACGTCTCTGATTGCAGCACTGGACTACTCGGGTTTGAATCTCAGGAGTATCGTTACTTCCTTCAAGATTGCAAGTACATCTTGCTGACGAGTGACAACAAGCATGAAACCTAGGTCCTAGGCTTCTTGTCTATTACCTCCAAGTATCTGTGCTTCAATTCATTTGTTCATGAGACTGAATCGGTGTAGGAGGCTATTAACTGCTCAGCAGTGCAGGCAACCATGTCCGTCGATAGCGAAAGCATTGTATCAGTAAGTCGAGGTTGTTTGCTGAAGCAATTTTGAAAACTACGGGCATTCGTGAACTTGTCCCTTTATGTATGTAACGTTAGTGCGCCTTTACAGCCTATTTAGTAGGCTGTATTTGATTATAGTAACACGTCTACGTGCTATCCTTCTATCATTATTCTTCCAATTCCTGAATGTCTTTTTACATTGTTTCCCTCGATTTACTATTTATCTATTGACTTGAGAAATAAATGCATGTTGAAATGGGTTGTGTTGTGTTGTGTAAATGAAAAACATTTATCATATGCACTTCTAATAAGGCTACACAAAGCCATTCAAGAAAATGATTGTTTCGAATTCTTACAAAGAGCTTCCCTTCAGTCAATTTATCATTTATGTATCTGCTCTGTTATGTGTTCTGTCGAACCGATTAATTTCTACGTAGATCCCTTTTTTGCGTTGTGTGCCTGTCTAGATGTTACACCGAATCATCTACATCCCTCCCTTCACAACATTCATAATCGTGTAACATCCAACTCAGCACTGGAGTTGCTAGACTGATTTTCAGCTTGCGTTATTATTGTTGTCAGTCTGTTTAAAGTATAGTCATGGGTTTTATTTATCTGATGATTGTAGACGCAAGTCTTCATGATTTTTTAGACATTGAACTAAAATGTTTTCCTGATGTTTGTATTCTATGTAGTCATTTTGAGGTATATTATGTCATAAGAAAAAGGCACAAACAGCGAGGAAAATTTTCTTTTCGACGATTCATTTTCATGAGCTGTACAATCCTAATTATAATTAATAAAGAAATCTTTTAGACCAGTCAGATAATGGTAAACTTTGTCCTTGAAAATTGTACTACGTTAATGTAAGGTGTAAGAAGGGATGACTAATTGTAAATTAGAAAGGTGACAGAAGTTGGCATATCTCAACAAGTGTGAGATAATGACTAATCAATAAGCTCGTGTAGAATGGACAGGAACCTAGTGGAAAGGCTATAAAGTGTTTTTGTATAAAATCTGTATGAAAAAGCAATATATTATGAAAACATTTCCTTTTTTGCAAGGTATTTTTGTGGCGCACAAATTTTGATAAATGTGGAAAGGAAATACCTACCAAAAGTCCGAATAAAAGCCCCAGTCGTATTCTAACAACGTCTGATCCTGCATCACGGAGTAAATCTATCCAAATTAACCGTCGAGTTTTATGTCCTGAGTCTAATTCTGTTGGTGGCTGTCAAATGAATGGAAGCGAGTCTGAAGAAAAAGAAGATAAACAGTCCTCTAATACACCTGAAACCACTGTTGATTATCATGAATCGCCTACTGGTGATACACTGAATCCACGTACCTCAGTAAAATGTCATTTTCCGCATATTATTCGTAATCAATCTGGAATTAGTACACCGAGTACATTGCCCTTGACATCAAATTTGAATGTTGCACAATTTGTAAGTTGTTTTTAAGGTTGGTTTTTAATCAGTACTTACCTCGTTGTGGTTATTTGGAGTAGGAGTCTGTAGATTATCTGTGGCATAGGTTTCTCTAACCTTATTTTGCGAAATAATATTTATTTTAGGTTTTCAGCCAATCCACCATTTGGTTTTACATGAATATTTTGACTTAAAATTGTTTTGAGACTGCTGGTTGTTTTTCCGTTCCTTTAAAGATTTTTCTGAGTAGTTTTATCGATCACAAAATATTGGGATGCCTATTTGGCACAGCTGATCGTTCGTTTAATATTCTCATACTGAGAAGACAGAAGGCTGACTCGGGAGGCAAAGATTAGTTTCTCCATGCAAAAAGGGAAAAAAAGGAGGTATAAGTAGAAATTAGCCGGTGGCACTAAAGATCACGAATTGGCAGAAGCTAAACTTTATGAGTCATTGGATTCTGTCCCACTGGCTGAGAATGGTTAACGAGCTTGCCTCGTAACCTGAAAGTCCTGGGTTCGATTCTCGTTGGGATCATGGTTAGATACTTCTGAAGAGTATTGAACTAGTTCAAGACAGCTGTCCAGCACTCCTTGATGGTTTCCAAAGGTTCTCTAACTGATGTGAATCCATGCTCCAACTTGAAACCAATCAAAACCCTTAAGACTAACGCCTGTAAAAACTAATAAATTACTAGTATATGATATAAAAACTGTTTTGATTAGCTCACACGTACTATTAAGGATCCACTGAATTTACCTTTAGTCTACGTTTTCAATTTACATGGAGAAGACGATTCATAATATTTTTACCTTCTGGTGTAACAATAACCGACAGCTACACGCATCTGTTGTCGTAAAGCAGTCAATCGCTGACACGAATAAATTACTTCTAACCAATATTGGAATTTGTGGCAGTTAGCTATTTCATTTCGACTCGTTTACGTATTCATTCTTATTAAGAAAAACTTAAAATGCAAGCCTGTTACACTATAAGCACTAGAAGATGCTTCACATGAAAGCAGTCAAATAACAATATGGGAAAAAAAGAAAAGAAAACAATTGATAAACAAGGGAATGGGGAAACACTTATCAAGAGTATTCAATGAAGTTTGTCCACATATCTAAACCAATGAAGAGATGACAGCATGTTTACTATTTATTGTCGATTATAAGCTGTATCTAATAAAGTCTCTCTAGCTTTCTGTGCTACTCCGTCTATTGGATCCCACAAAAGAAGTTATGATGCGCCGACAACTACTCTTTATCTAATGTGACACTACATCTGTAACATTTAGTGTAAAATACTGGATAGATCAATGAACTTGTTGGCATGGCATTCATCAACAAGGCCTATATGTGTTGTTTCTCCATGAAACCTATGTTTCTATGCTGATTTAAGAGTTGAAGGCAGAGACTTTTTCACTCAGTTATTCAGTCCATGAATTGTAAAACACGTGACTTTAGTACTGTTTGGTGGACGTTTGTTCGACCTATGGAAAGTAAATTAAGCTTTCTTGAGGCTGTACGTGTATGTCGCACTGATGAGTGCCGACATGTAAAAAGCTTCGGCTCCTAGCATCCTTCCGAATGACTTCTATTAACCTCTGATAATAAATTGTAGTGCACCACAATATATTACAGTGTCGTCTTAATTAAATTGCATACCTGATCTGTAGATCTTGGTCAACTCAGAGAAGTGTATAGCAATATCGTTTACTAGCCAAGTAGGAAGGCTTCGTGTGCTTTTGGAAGTGTTTGTGCGGTTGTTACTTCCCGCCTGCCCACACCGTGGAAGTTGATTGATTCTTCGGGTACCTGAAACAGAAAGAGGGTTAGTGTTGCGTGACCGCAGAGCCCAGGGGACAACTGCTTGAGGCCGGTCACACACGGCCTGTATGAACTGGTTTTTGGGATTGGTTCCGTATTAGTAAACTTACCGCCGGTTACGGACCACCGTAGGGTAAGTCGGGATGTACAATTTTTGGGGTCGACCTTTTATAACCCCCTCTCTCCGGAGTGAAGAGACAGCGTAGCTGGCATGCTGGTAGTGTGAGGGAAACACCTCACTGCCGTTACACCCCTGTTCCCCAGCAGTACGATTTCGTCCTCAGACCCCCAGCAAAGTGTAAGAAAGATTCTTACACCATGCCGGTAACTGCTTTTAGTCTAATCGCTATCTTAACAACCTTCGAGGCATGGTAGGACCTGCAGGAACATATGTTCCAGCCAGTGCAGCTTGTTGGGTCATTGCGATGTGCAAGCCCGACCACCACGTCAAGGTAGCAGTTATCGGTCGGGACTAGCCGAATAACGATTCGTATGTATATACGTATGTATAATGAGTAGTGAAAGTACCTTGACTCTTCGTAGTATACATGCTTATGATCATCTGAAGAGTAGTGTAACCTGCTCACGCTGTACATTCACAAATACATTAAATTTACGATTGTATGCTCACTAACCGGGCTTATTCCTAAAGCTATATATACATTACTTCTAAACAATTTTCCACGTTATATCAACTCATATGTTGAGTAAAAAATGATTAAGTTTTTATAGGAAGACGTACCTTTCTTTCAGATGTATTAATTCGTACATAGTCCTCACAACACCAGATTTCGCTTCTATTGACAAGTTCATGGATAATAAAACTGAATCACTACATTATTTTGTCTTCATCTATTCATATTTAGATAATGTTTTGTTTGAAGTTAGTTTCCAGAACAGGTCTTTCTATGTTCTAGACCATAAGTCACACTTCATTTTATTGTTCGAAAGACTGGTGGTACCACCCACTTGCCCAAACTGAAGTAGATATATCTGGTTTCGAACCCGTGATCCACTGATGAAAAGTTGAGCGCTTAAGTCAATGGGCCATGTCATCACACATTTAGATAATGTAACAGTAGGTTACTACCTTTATCTTATAAGTTTACTCTGGTGGTAAGTTTCGCACCGAATTAAATATAAAGTAGCACTTCAGAAACTAAGTTTAAGATTTTTAAAAAACGTAGTAAAAAAATAATTTCTAATTTGATATTGAGAGTTATAATACTTTTATTCAATTCTAGGGGAATTCTAAGACGCCTGTGAATTTAGACGACGAACGCCAAAATGTCCCACCGTCATTGTCAACAACACTTGAACATATTTTTTCCCAACTGGATATATTGACACAGGTAAATATTAACTTCATAAAGTGTAAAGTTGTAAATTTACGTTTTACAACATAAAGTTTTATTGGGCAAATTAATTAATCATAAGTAAATTCCAGCTATCAGATTACTACTTGATTTAACTCTGCCTCTTCCCCTCGGAGCTTTCAACCTAAAGGTTTATAACTCGTAATCATGTAATGGATGTGATTCTTAATGGAAAACGTAAAGATGTTCTTGATTGTTAAGTTGAAGGTAAAGGTTTACGTACTTTCTACTTACGGTAGTGTGTTAGAGGTTGTGGTAAGTTGTCATCTGAAGGAATGAGAACCAGTTGTGGCCATCGAGGATGCTTAGTGTCTCCACTTTTCTTTGATTTCTTCATAAATATATATACTGATGGATTTAACTCTAGTCGACTTGGGTTGATTTGTTATTCCTGGGACAGTCTCGTAGATATAGAGTATGTAAATAATTATAGTCCTTCTAGTTGAATATACTAGAAATTATGCTTTTCTTGTACTTTCTTCTCTTGCTTCGCGTGCTACACGGAGTGTGGCGACTTGAACTGCCGCACATATGTGCAAAGTTCTATGTCAAAAGCAAACAGACAGACAGCTGATTATACAGCTAAAATTTATTGTGACTTCCAAAAAAGAAGAGCCAACAGAAGTGATAAAATAACACATAATTCAAACAAATGCATCTAAGTGGAGTATAATTTTTACAACTAAGCATTTGTTTCCATTGAGAAATATTTCACTTATCAACAGATGATATGCTGTAAAGACTGTTACAGTTAAAGGGTATCCAGAACACGTATACAGCATGAACAAGAGCTGAAGTAATTTTGAAATACATTGCGGCTACATTTGTGATGTTGGTTAATAGACTTTTCTGACCTTTCTCACAGCCGTGCTGGCAATAAAATATAAAATAAACACATTTGAGTACTGTACTAATCCATGTTATCTCTTACGATCATCGGAGTGGTACTTTGATTTTTTTTTTAAATCAGCATCGCTGGTTCAACGGTAGAATACTCACCAACCACACGCATATATGGTCTGGGGTTTGATTTCCGGTTGATCCACTCCTCTTAACCCCGCTTAGCCGTCAGTAAGCTCAGTGTAGATAGAAGGTTAGGTGTAAGGCTGGCGAGTTCACCCCGTAAAAGGAAATACCGCTGTTAGTGAAACTTCAAAGTGCAAACTTAAAGCTCTTGAAGTTCCTCTGGGAATGTGAAGGAATAAAGACAATAATTCATGTTAATTATTCTATTTACTCATTATGTAATCATTTCCATCATTCAATGAAATCAGCTAAGCCAAATGATATAGAGCTGAGTATTCTGTTTTCTCACCTTTTTTTTTACTTTCAGACTGTTTCAATAGTGGAACAACGTTTAACCTTACTAGAAAATAAATCAACCAATAATGCTTGAACATTCATTATTACTATCTGCATATTTAACTTTAATTATAACTTTATCATGTTATAATGAATAACAATTGAGTTGATTGACAAATATTGTATATTTAATTTCCTTTATTTTCTGAAAACCAGTTAGACATTTAGTTTTTCTTGCTCATTGTTTGAAGTTTATGCATACATGAATATGATAAAGAATATCAGTAACTCAAGTTCAGCATATTATCTGAGCTTGTGGTTACGGATTCTGTGAATTAGTAGCTAATATATCAGACACAAACACGAGAGAACCAGGCAGGCTTTAGACCAGGAAGAGGGTGTATCGATCATATCTTCACGCTTCGACAGATTCTAGAACATAGGCATTCTTACCGGCGGCATCCGACAATCATTATATTTCTTGACCTAAAGGCCACATTCGATTCTGTCGACCGAAAAGTACTCTGACTATGCTTGGGTGTAAAAGCAATGCCGAGAAACTACATTGCACTGATCAAGCCACTCACTCCACTCGAACTCATGCAATCAGGTGAGGGCTTACGGCGAGTTGTCACCTGAAGTGGTGATGACTAGTGGTGTCCATCAAGGATGCCTATTATCCCCATTTCTATTCAACTTCATCATAGATGTACTAATGGACTTAACCCTCAGTGACTCAGGGATTGACTTGCTACCAGGGAATAATCTCGTTGACTTAGAATATTCAGACGACATAGTCCTTCTAGGAGAGGACGCTGACAAAATGCAGAGTCTTCTGAACAATTTGAGAAGCAGGGAGTCACCGCAGAGTGAATTGGCAGAAGTTAGAATTCAAGGACCATTGGATCGGGTCCCAGTGGCTTGATGGTATACGAGCTCGCCTTGTAACCGGAAGGTCCTGGGTTCGAATCCCGGTGGGTGCGTACTGATGAAGAGTCCCAAACTAGGACGAAACAGCTATCCAGTACTCCCAGGTTTTCCAATGGTTCTCTAACTAATGTCAGCTCATGATGAAATCCTGAAACCAACCGAATCCCTACAAACCAACACTTAAAAAGTGGTATTGTTACCAAGGTGTGAGAGATTGACCACACTCTTTTTCTGTATGCATAAGTTTGGTCTGTGATGCTTGATTCCATTTGCTTCAGCAAATCGTAGTAGATTCGCTGTCCTTTGTATGTTTAATATTTTGAAGGATTTGGAAATCTCGACAAAATGACCCGTATCCACAAGGTGTCTGGTAATCGCACTTTGTAAATATCTGCTTCCTTTTAGGCATAAGTTTCTTGGAATATGCTCTGAAAACCGGATAGAAGCCCTTCTTTCTGTCCTTCCAATATACTTGCTACCGTGGGTACACGTAAATTTATAAATGCAGTTGGAGGTAACATCAGCAGGGTACTTATCCAGTTTCGACTGGCTTATAGAGCATGTAGTACTGTACAGTGTCACCAGATTGGCTGCAGGGAGACATCTCTTTATTGCTCCCTTCATCCTCTTTTCAATCTTTTGCGATACTGTTTCTTCTTTGTATGGGAGGCAAATGAACACTTTCTTCTTTTCAACTGTTGGATGCTTCTCTTTCTTTGCTGTACTTCAGGATAAATCCTTTTGGATACCCGTTTTCCTTAAGGCATTTTTCAACAAAGCTTAATTCTTCTTCTACCCTGTTAGGCGAACATAAATTCCAGGCCCTGACGTACAGTGTCCTTACTAATACCCGCTTATAGCTCATAGGGCAGAAGCTGTTGTAGTAAAGGTATTGTCCGGTTCAAGTTTCTTTTCTGTAGATGGACTTTTCGACCGTTCCATCGTTTCTTCTTTTTAGATTTAGGTTCAGGAAATTGGACTCATCGTTGTGTTCGTATTCCATAATGAATTTAATGTTTTGGTGGACCTCATTTAAGCGGTCAAATAATACGAATGCCTGATTCATGTCATTACAAACAGCAAAAGTATTATTGACGGTAGTATGTTGTTTCATTGATAGCGTCACTCAATCGCGTCTGTTCGAGATATCCCATGAAGATGTCTGCTAGAATGGGTCCTAGAGGTGAACCCATGGCGATCCCATCAGTTTGTCGGTAGAATTGGTTATTGAATCTAAATTGGATGTCTTTTGTGCAAGGAATTAGTAACCGTTTCATCTCTGACTCCGGTGGTGGTAATAGAGATCTGTTTGTTTACAAATGATATCTATTGTTTCCACCACTGGTACATTTGTAAATAAGGCAGTCACGTTGTATGACAGAAAAGAATGTGGAATTCGAAGGAATCAATAGTTTGGCAAAAATATTGCGTAATATGCAAAATAATTGTCAAGAAAATGTGTTTATAATCAGTGAGTGTAATCATAATGTTGAGTTACCAAGATGCAGGAAGAATAAAATGTACATAAACTTACAGAGAACATAATACTCTCATTTGTCCTATCTTCAGGGTTGCAAATGCTCCATGTAACCAAATTATGATGTATTCATTACTGCATGATCATTGTGGAGATCTACAGCACTTTGTACGACAAACAATATCATCTCATCGCTTCCACGTAGTTCAGAATCGGCACGTTACTGAAAGCGTACCCAACAGCCAGCTACTCACTTTCATTAATAACTGTCTTAGCTGACTCACTACTGAAGATCAGATGGCCAGCCGGCAATGATAAGCAGCATGAGACTCTGGCGTTGAACTAGCTAACAAATGCGCTGGAGAAAATGGAGGTGGGTCAGACATTTGTTGAGAAAACATTCAAGCAACATCATAAGACAGGCAGGCTTCTGAATGAGAAGTAAAGAGCTGAGCATGGTTCTCAGGGCGACGTGGAAAATATCATTTAAGTAGGAGGTAACAGCTTGTGAACAGTCGTGGGCAATTTGAAAGTGATTACAGAGCGGAATTATGCTACTGAAGCTTTCTGTTCTGCTCAGAACTCAGGGGACGAACAACATAACATTAATGTAGTGTATCATCAATGAAATTACTTTGTCATCTCTTCCAATCTGTACATGGAAATGGATGTTCTTTCCATGCAAATACCTTTTTTGGTATTCTATTTTTCGTGTGTTTAGTGCTTTTTCTCTTGCTACAACATGCTACTTCTTTAATTAGTAAGTAGGCTATGGAAAAGTCGAATGTTTATTGATTTGTAAAATAGTGAACTGACTAAAAGTGTGATCAGATTACCCTTTACATCCTGATATTGTTTTTTTTTCAGCTTGCAAGATATTTTATTCCAAAATAACATCTGTAGAAGAATTTCTTATCTGAGATTTTCTACCTTCTTGAGGATCTCATGTAGAAAGCTTAATGTTGTCAACTAATGATGATTACTGCATTTAATAGAACTATATTTAATGATATAGTTATTCTTTTCTGTCTGCCTTTTGGCTATCAGTATATTAATTTAAAAATCACTTCTCAACAATAAACCACTATGCATTTGATAAAATTTGATATTGAGTTGTTCCCTTGAGTCTCGACTGGGACACAGGGCTTCAGCAGCAGATCTCGGCTTCACCCTGTTCTCTGAACTCGTCTGTAGCTGGTTCAACAATTGCCCATAGGCTTTCATTTTCTCCTCACACGACCTTCACCATGTCACCCTTGGACCAACACCCAACTCGTTGTTTTTCACCCGGGTTCTATTTCAACAGTGATCTGCCGCATTACTTCATGGTATCTTTAGTGTGTGCTCGGGCCATCTCCATTTCCTCTGGCATATTTATTGGGCAATAGGCTGTTGATTATCTCGTTTCCAGAGTTCCTTGTGGCTTATCCTTTCCGGCCAGCGACCTGATCTTCAGCAAAGGCAGCTGTTGGTAAAAATATGCAGCAGATTGTTGAAAGTGCTCTTGGTGATGCGCCAAGTCTTTGAACAGTAATGAAGCAGTGCTTTGATATTAGCGTTGAAGATCCGAGTCTTCTCCTATATTCTGAGTGTAGCAGATTTCACAGTCATGAAGGCCTGTCTTGCTTTTCCGATGCTAACTAAATTTGACATCTTCACCAGTGATACTTGTTACTGAAACGATGCCGCTTACGTTTGGTAAGTGTAAGAAGTGACTTCCTTCAAATATCGCCCTTCGACGGTGACTGATGTTTTTTTTTTGAAAATTCAGTATAGGTCAAAACCTACATAAATTAAAGCGTCGATTATGTACCTGGGAACGTAGTAGGTTTTCGGGCAGAAATGTTTATTTGGTGAAATTACATACAATAGTGGCAAAATATAATAAGGTTACATACTATCCGTGTTCTGCTTCTTTCTTTCTCGTTTCATTCTTTCTCCACTTCTCTTGGTCGCAAATCCATCTGTCACTCTCTTATTTAAGACTCTATTTTTGGTGACATGTAGAGAGTGACGTCTCTGCAAGAATGTCATTTCTGTCGAATATACATTTTAAGAAGTGAACTTTTGATATACTAGAATCTGCTAAAATATCTTACCAGAAAGTATGATTATAAACTATCTCACATTACCGTAGATAATTATCTTTCCAACTTACCTATTTGTTTAATGATAAGCAAGGGTGATATTTGCACTTATATTGCAATACAAGTTTCTAAACATTCTTTACTATTACTTTATGCAGTTCGATTGGAAACTTTTTACCTACGGCCTGGAAAAATTTGGTTTTACAATGACTCATTAAGTAAAATAATCTTTTCTTGAGGGCGAAGTTAAACTATATCAGCTAGGCCGATTGATCTCACTACAGAACAATAAAAGTCACAAAGTGTTGGTATTATATGGTTAGAAGCAATCTGTCACAGGTAGCCTTGGTCCTAGGAAGCCTTGATTGACCTAGGTTTCGTGCTAGTTGGCACTCATCAGTAAGGCGTATCTACAACTTCTAAGGAACTCATTTCCTTTCTGAAATTCGAATCCGCATCACCCAGTGCTGCAGTCAGACACGTTACCACTGAGCTGTTCAGGCTTGCGAATGACTTCCTGTAGGACTGTATTGGATATTTTTGATTGGACACTAGTCAGTAATTCGTGTAATGTGTGTGTCTAGTCCTATCTTTGGTGCAGACTGAATTCAGTCACGAGTCTGAATAGCTCAGTGGTAACGTCTCTGACTTCAGCACTCAGTGACGTAGGTTCGAATCTTAGAAGGGACATGAGCCACTTCAAGGTTGCAGATACACCTAGCTTACTGTTGGTGGGTGCCAAATAGAACGAAACCTAGGTCGAAGGTTTCCTGTGGCGGATTTCCTCCAACCATCTAATACCAACAATTAAATTCACAGTCGATCGTGATGGCGATCCACCTAGCATGGTGGCTACATTGCAAACATGACTGATAGAATTCAGTCTGCACCAAAGATAGGACTAGACACATTACGCTATTTACTGACTAGTGTTCAATCAAAAATAGTTACAGAAATCTTTGTTTAATATGACTATAGACTGTGACGTTCTGAGATCTGTTTATATTTCTGATTTTGTTCTTTAATCTATCCAAAAATCCCAGTCCTCTTAATTGATCAGTTATCCTGTCAAGTTATCCTCTTAAATACTTGTCCTAGTAACTCGAATTAATCAATTATTCACACAGTAGTCAAACATCCCATCTTCTTGGAACTTGTTAAGGAAGTTCAGAAGACAGTATTTAAGTCGCCTGTAAACGTAGTTGGTTTTCTAAATTCATGAATCTGAGTGGTTGATAGAGTTTAACTTCTCTCTTTTCTGAATGTTATTCGTGCCCTTTACATTATTTGCTTAATTTTTTCTTGATTAGTCGAAAAATCATGAGTCATCAAATCTAGAATAGGGTACACAGGGTGACTACGGGGAATTTTGTTTTACAAAAGCAGGTAAATCGCTTAGTTCTCTCAATTGATAGGAATCGCTACTTGAGTCAGCCTAGCCTCTATTAAGTTAAACGTATCCGATAAAATATCTTGATATACAGTCGTGACCTATGCATACAAGTCCAGTGTAACTTAAGTAATGGACCAAAGTTATCTTATTGCTAACCCCCAATAGAGAGATAATCTCAACTAATCTCTATTTAAGGCGTACTACTTGCTTAATTTGAAGCTTTAGTTATTTAAGAGCTACAGAAATAATACTCTTAATAAAGTTGACAATCTATAGGAAAAAGGAGTCTTTTATGCAAGATATAAGGTATACAGTATCTGCGTAAGAAATTAAATTGATGAGTCACATTTGGGTATATTAAGGAAATACACACCAAACAGACAAAGTTGTTCTAAAGTTAATGGGCGTTTAAATTAAAATGCAAAAATATGATTGGTTAATTGTCAGCAGTTATAATTCTTAGCCACAAGTGAATTTAGATGAAAATAAAAGTCTGCCAATCGTAAACCGAATCTTGCCTAACTTATTAGTTCACTAATTTACTAGTAGATTTTAGGCCCAGAAAAAGAGACAAGTCTAGGTGTGGGGCTAGCAAAACTACCCCAGGAAAATCAACCAGTCGCTACGGAAACTTTAAAGAAACCAAAAAGACATATTCTTCGCTGGAATCAATTAGGCGAAATGACGTCGGCAGATGAAAGCCTTGCGGAAGGCAGTTGACAGAAATATTTTCATTCCATGCAAACAAAAGTAAGCGTAAGAACATGGAATATCTGTATAATGTTTGAAGATGTTAAAAGCTGCTCAGATTACAAAAAAAGTTGAAAAGATATGGTATATAAGAGCTTGGAATCATTGAGAATAGATGAAGTGAAAGTGTAATCTCCAAACTGTTAACCAGAGCGTCAATAATTTGTCTGCTGAAGCCATATGTTCCATTAGGAACCTAATGTTTTTCGAAATGACAGCAAAACTGGTTTACAAGCAAAATGCCGGACGAACTCATTTTATTTACACTACAGTTGGCGAGATTTTATTTTGATGATTATACGAATGACAGAAAAGGGTGAACAAACGACTGACATGATAGTGAGCACTAGTCAAAACAAAAACCAATCTGGATTAGAGTCTCCACAATTTAGAAGGGAATTATTCGAATTCATTTATTGCCTTATCAGGAAATTGTATAATATACCGATGAATACGTTTTTTCTCAAGTGAATGTGAGGATATAGATATTCTTTAATTAACATTAACATTAAAAGCTAAGCATGAATCTGCTGTTAGATGGTATACGATTAACTATCAATTTCGCTACATAGTACTGACTAAGTGATATGAGTAATTTGATGCCACCCAAATTTAGTTTGAATAGTGTAAACTGCTAATTCGATCTAATATATTACCAGTTCAACCAAGTAGTCAGCCAGAATTCGTGTAGTTTGTGCTAATAGTGTTGATATAATGTTGTATTGATAATGTACTAACTGGATGCAATACTGTAGTAAAATGCTGAGAATTCCCTTCTGTATCACAAGTACTGTTTTGGAATAAAGCAAGTTATTATTATTACTAATTTGGCTCTCTGTGATGATTCACACTGGATACACGTCTGATGGGCTCAACCCCAAACAAGTAAAGAGATCTCCTAGTGTATAGATCACCTCGATTTCCCTGACTAGCAAGCACTCCGGGTTGATATGAATGGTATTCAACTACCTGTGTCAGTCAATCAGTAGTATATAATATTAGTCATTTCTTACAGGATTTCAACATGAGCTGACATTGTTTAGAGGACAATTGGAAAACCTGGGAGTACTGGGCAGCCGTTTTGTCAGACTAGTTTGGGCTTCTCAGCAGTACGCACCCACCACCACGGTTACAAGGCGAGCTTGTAGACCATTAAGCCACTGAGACCCAATCCATGAATTCTAAATTCTGCCACTTCACGACATAGCACAACCCTTAGCCAATGTCTCACTAGCGACTTGCCCTATTCAGGTAGGTAGTTACCTGGGGTTCTAGTGAGAAGTCATGACCAGTAGGGTTCAGCTGATTGGGTGTGAGGATAAATACTCGCCGAAGACATTGGCCTGTTGTCTCGCCATGTCGTGAATTGGCGGAAGTTAGAATTCATGGGCTAGCCATTGTATCGGGTCTCAGTGGCTTAGTGGTATACGAGTTCGCCTTTTAACCAGAAAGTCCTGGGTTCGAACTCTGGCAGTGAGTGCTTACTGATGAATAGTCTCAGACTAGGACGAAACAGTTGTCCAGTACTCCCTTCAGGCCTTCCAATGGTTCTCTAACCGATTTCAGCTCATGATGAAATCCTGTAACCAATCAAATCCCTACAAACCAACACTTGAATTAGTCATTTCTGCTTGATTTCTTGTCTACCCTTTGTGATCTGAATAATTTCATTTTCAAATTTCATTTCAAAAGAAACTGGTGAAATTGTACGTCTAACTGCGATTCTATTTATAGCGTCGCGTAATGCATGGCAATCCATTGGATTATATTTTTATTTAACGTCGAAAATTCACTTGTGCATAACTAATCATATTATTTATTATTATTAATTATATCATATTAATAAACATTGTTTAAAAATAAAAACAGTTAACATCTTTTTTTTAATGTCAACAAACATTACGAAAATCATTTTAATTGTCTGAATTTTAAACTTCTCTAAAATCATATTTAATAGTTGAATAGATGAATTATTTGAATAATCAGGCAGACATTCCTTCAGTTTAAGGAATTTTTAATCATTTTTTAATAGTAGTCATCCACCATATTTAAATATGTGAATCCAAAGTTTTGATTTCTTTTTTTGTTTAATCGGAGTGTATATTCCCTCGACATTCTTTCTTCTGTTAATTCGATATCATTTATTATAGAAACATAACGCATAAAAAAATTATATATTCCGAAGTGGATCATGTGCTCTAATTCTTGGGACTTCCATTCGATTATTTAAATTCTCTACTAATTCTTCAATTTCTTTTTCAAACATTCTAAACATTAATATTTCAATTGATGTATTATCTGTTTTTAAATAGAATACTTTATTTGTACTACGATCTGGTATAGCAGCTTCATCTAATATCTTTTTAGACATAATAAATCTTGGTTTACGATAATTTTGTAAACCACGTTTTTTCAATTCTGTATCAGCATTCATTTCTAAATCATTTAATCTTTCATTAATATATAATTCAAATTTACTTTGTTGTGAATCATATTCAATTAAAAAGGCTTCAATAATAAAGGCCAGAACAACATTTAAAACAAGTAATACACATATCCAATGTATAATAATAAAAAATAATCGACTCCATTTTGTTGTAATATCTGAGAAACCATCAACAAATATATGCCAATTATTACCAACTACAATAATTAATAATAATAAAAAGGAATCTAATGCACTATTAAAATTAAATGTACAATAATGCCATTCAACAAATTCACTATGTAATAAATATTGATTATTACATGTTGTATCTAATGTATAATTATAATTTATTGGTGGAATATACAATAAACCGAATAATTCCATAGCAATACATGAAAATATATAGAATAATATTAATAAGATAGCTGTATAAGCTGCTAATGATGGTAGTATAGTTAGAATACAATTAATTACAACACGAAATTGTGGTACAACACTAAATACTTTAAGTAAACGAAATAAACGTAACAATAGAAAAATTTGTATAATAGAACCAGGCAAATAAATACCAAATGAATAAAATATTAATTGAAACACTTGTCCAATTAATGCACCAAAGACAATAATACAATCAAATAAATTCCAACCATCATTAAAAAATTTCACTCCACCACATGCTAAATAATTAACAATTAATTCAAAAATAAAACAGATTGTAAAGATAGATTCAATAATTTCTTGAAATTGTGGATAAGAATGAAATAGAATAATTGTAATTGCATTAGCAATAATTAAACATGTGAAAAATAATTTCGTTATATTATGTTCAATATAATGCACAATCAGCTGAAATCGCGGCGATGTATATGTATCATAAAATTTTGATATATATGTACTAAAATACGCACGACTTAATTCAATTTCTTCAAATTTCGCCTGCATATATTCAGAGAGGCGTTCAAATTCTTCTTTACCTAAATAACCAGATTTATTTTTATCTAATACATGAAAAATCACTTTCATCGAGTCTTCACTTCGTTGGGGTTTAACAATACGCATTAAACGTAGAAATGTGCCTTGACTAACACCTTGTCCACCGTCTGGTGTCATTGTCGATATTAAATTAAACGCTTCATCTAGTTTTTCTTTACGTTTCATAACTGTTTTCACAACAAATTCACCTAAATGTGCTTTATATGAGTTGTACACTGAAGCTGTTAATATTCCCATAAATAGCCAGTTACATGCTGTACATACGAATACATAAATAAATATATAAAAATTATTATATTCATAAGCTGGTACAATAACATCTGGGGAATTTGATGTTGTTGTTAGCACATAGAATTGCCATAGAACATCATTGAAATCATTTAAATATATACTACCATCAGGATAGGTTAATTTTTATCACCAATTAAAGCTAAGGTGACAATTGATATAAATATTAAACATGCACCAAATAAACCAAACACAGGTAATACATCAATTAATGTACGTCGTAAATTATAAAAAGCAGCACGTAATCTTCTATTCTCTGGAAAAGTCAGTAATAATACAGGTCGTAGTGCTCTTGACCATCTTACTGGTTTACCAATATTTAATTCATTCAATAATATATAAACAATAGCATCAATTGTCATTGTAATTAATATTGTAATTGTCATTATTGATGAAATATTACGTTTTAATGTATCCTTTTCTGATATAGCATATATTATATACCATCTATAATAGAAATAACCTTCACAGAATAAATTAATTATTAATGGTATATAATAAGGTATTGGTTTATCATTTATCCATATATTTGGTGGATATTCAATAATAATTGTTAGTAGATTGAGTACAGTTAAAAAGTAGTATAATGCAATATATGGTTTACTATAATACCGTTCATACATTTGTACAGAGAGTAAATCTTGTTTAAATTTAATTTCTAATCTTGATGCACATGCATCACGTATTAATGTTGAGCCTAAAACAAAACGTCTTGCACGACCACTTAAAAATTCTTCATCTTCTTCCATTATTTTTATTTAATACTTTTTATATTAGTGGAGTTTCCTCTCAATATTGTGTATATGATGTATACAAGCGAATATACTGTAGAATCTAAGATAGAAAGAATTTAAACTGAATACTAATCAATAAATAAGGATAATTAATTATAGCCTATATTACTTTTTATTGATTTTACTTCTTAGTTTAAAAAAATCCTTAACATTAATAAATTGCTTGTTTAGTGGTTATATGATGTTGATGTACAAAGTTATACTAAACTCTTGATTAACTTTAGTATTCAATAGAAGGTAATTGGTTACAGGATTTCATCATGAGCTGACATTGGTTAGAGAACCATTGGAAAACCCGCAGTAAGTACTGGACAGCTGTTCCGTCCTAGTTTGGGACTCTTCAACAGTACGCACCCACCACAGGGAGTTCGAACCCAGGACCCTCTGGTTGCAAGGCAAGCTTGTAGACCGTTGGGGCACTGAGTTCCGATCCAGTGACCAGCCCATGAATTCCAACTTTGGCCAATTCACGACATAGCGCGATCCCTGGCTAATGTCTTCGGTGAGTGTTTGTCCTCACACCTGACCTGCCGCACACCACTGGTCACGACTTATCAGGTTCAGCAGTGCAATAGTAGCTAGAAAAAATTTCGATGGCAGCTGAACTTATGGTTTCAGATGAAGAATTCGTACACCAGCTTTCCTTACCTTTGCTGGAATCACTTGATTGTAAAAGTCTGATAAGTTTTTCCCTCTCCCTAAGGCATTTGCATTTGGCTATCTTATTATTCTACCTCTTAATTGTTGCGCCAACTGTCTTTCTAATTTAAGCTGACATTCAATTTAATATTCCATTTCAATGCATATTATTACTTACACAGGCTTTTGAACTGTCATCTACTGACCTTAACAACTCGATACAATTTTAAAAAAACATCAGTATTGTCAGTTACAGTTATCTAGGCAGCATCGTTTCAATTACTGGGGGCTGCGAAGATGATAACTTCAAAGGCAGGATCGTGAAAGCAAGGCAGACCTTCATTATACTGAAATCAGTATGAAAATCTGCTGCATTCAGAATAAGGAACAAGATCCGGATATTCAACACTAATGTAAAGTCAGCGCTTCTACACGGTTCATGGGAAAATTTTCCAAAAAGTTGCACACTTGGCTGCTTCTATACATCAGACAACGGACCAATCAGAAAGAATTGCCAACGAAGAACTTTGGCAACTAATGAATCACCAAGAACCTATCGCCCAATAAATTTGCAGAAGAAAATGAAGATAGACTGGACATATTTAATTGAATTTCTGATTTTCCCGTCGATTGATGGGACTGAAGTGCTCACTTTCAGGTTGACATGTCGACTTCTTGTCTATATGCTTCGACGATGTCTGGGCATGTAATTAGAAGTTAATTGGTGGATGGTGACCAGCAGTGGAATCCAAGACAACGCGTATTTCGTCCTATTCGGGACTCGTGGTCAGCTGGATGTGCTTGTATTCTGAAGTGAGTGATGATATTCCCACCGAGGTTCGAACCCAGTGTCCATAGTTTCAAGCACCAAAGCGTTAACCACTTGAGCCACGAGAGCCACCTCTTGTGCAACGGGTCATATTAATTTAATTTAATTTTAGATTTTCCCGTCGACTGACTGGACCGAATTGCTCGGTTCTGGATTTCACTGCTAGTCACAATCCACCAATTAAATACTGGACATAAGCTGGAAAGATCTTTGATTGAAGTTACATGAGTGTGGTCCAAATGGGAAATAGGTGTTAGTCTAAGAGTGAGAAGGAGATAACAGCCTGCGTCCAAATTTGAAGCCCGCTTAAATAGACGGGAGAGAGCGGTGTGAAACGGTGATGTGCTACTGAATAGGTGTATATAAGTATATCTCTAGAACGTGATGCGGAAGTTATCAAAAAGTGTACTCTCCGCTCAATGTTTTTGTTTTCAAAATGTCAAAATAGAGATTTTCCTAACAATTTAGGTTCATAATTTCACCATTGTCTCTGTTTATCTATTAATACCATTTTTAATCATAAAAACTTTATACATAGAAATTTTTAAAAGTGTATAACACAAAGGTGAACTGAACAAGTGAATATCAAATATAATTATTATTAATAGAGATGACAAACGAAACTGAAAATTCTATGTCAGCTCAAACACTAAATAAACTAAAGTGTAGAAATATTTGCAGAATTTTAACGAGTGGATTACACAATGCGTAATTTTTGGAAGAAATAAGAAGAGTAAACGAGTTGTAGATACGCCTTGCTGACGAGTGCCAACAACACGAATCCTAGGTCCAAAGTTTCCTGCCGATTGCCTCCAATCATCCAATATCATCAAATCAATGTGCATAGTAATGGCAAACCACCTAATTATTATTCATAGTCACTTCAGTTTTACATTCCGGATATAAGGATAAACTACCTGCCTAATACTCTGACTACCTCCGTGCAGCTGTTTACATCAGATTTCTGAATATCATACTGTATGGCTGTGCAAGGGATAAAGGTCTAATTCATGGCTTTATTTTAGTACACCCTGCAGATACTGAAAGTAAAGTCGATGTTAATAAGGCATTCAAGATAGTCTATTGTATTCGCACAAATTTTAATTTCCTTTTACTAGTTTACCTAATAAATATAACTGAAGTAGCCAGATTATTCGTTTAAAACAAATTTGTGCAATCACTTTCCTTACCTTAGCTATTATTCCATGAACGTTAGAAAAATGACTATTTCTCCTTCCTTCTCCGAAACTATTTGCAAGTTGTTATCGCTCCAACTACCTTACTATTCTGTCTACTTTATCTTTAATTGTTTAACACACAATCAATTTGAACATTCATTTACTCTGATTGGACACTAGTAACTAGTGTGATGTGTCCAGTTCTTACTTTAGTGCAGACTGAATTCTATCAGTCAAGTTTGCAATGTGGCCACCATTCTAGGGGGCTCACCATCACGGTGCACTGTGAATTAAATTGTTTGTATTAGATGATTGGAGGTAATCGGCCACAGGAAACTTCGGACCTAGGTTTTGGCGCTAGTTGGCACTCATTAGCAAGGTGTATCAGCAACCTCGGAGGAAGTCATTTCCTTTCTGAGATTCGAACCTGCGTCACCCAGTGTTACAGTCAAAGATATTGTCACTGAACTATTCAGGATCGCAACTGACCTTCTGAATGACTGTATTGGATTTTTTGATTGGACACAATTATTTTTTACTCTGATTAACTTAAAATGCTTGATATTGTGTGTCAAGTAAGGTGAATTTGCAAACAAATGGTGAATACGAAAGGCAAATCACTGTTAGAACACTAAAAGTGGTATTTTAATATGATGTTTTAATAACTAATCAATCTCTCTTATATTATAAAACACGCTACCGAATAGTGTTGCCTTCAAATACGAAAGTGATCTCAAAACTGATATTTTTGAAAAGAAAACCTTTAAATATCATCAGATCAATAAGCAGAACTCTGCAAAACTAGGCGTCATGCATTCAGTTCTCAAAGTAAGATAGATTCTGAGGATATCATAGACTTAGGAATTCTACATCCATTGATTTGATTTCTTATATATTCAGATAAATGGATCTCATAGATTTCTGATTTCAAGATTTCATGACTGAACTGCATTGTTATAAGAGTTCTTTGCATTACATTTTTTATGAGGATATTAGAGGTACGTATACCGTGATATTTCACAAATTAGGGACTTGGTTTGCTTCCACAAAATTATCTAACAGTATTATAACATCTCAAAAACTAGGATTTATATGGAATAGATAAGTAACAACTTTCCTTAGAGTTGTCTGTGTGGTAAATATTAATGGAAAGTTTAGAAATGATGAAACTAACACTTAAAAACTAATCTAGTACTCACTGATGACCGAACTGAGGATGAAGTTACCTTAAGTTGTAGTGGGAATTTGTAATCAGCCGGGCTGAATAGTCAGTAACTTCGCTTTATAACCTAAAGTTCTGAATTAAATCCCGAGCATGGGTGTGGATGCATGCATGCTGTGAAGAGTCTTAAATAAGAACGAAACAGCTTTTCAATGCTCCCTGGTTTTTGACAGCTCTTCAAATTATGTGAATTTGTAATCTAACCTGAAACCATTCAAACTGTTGCAAACTGACAATTTAAAAGTATTATAAAAAGTTGAGAGAACTACGTCTGGAAATGACGTAGAATGTAATTAGTGCATTGGAAGTTACTTCCTGAATTTCTTTTAACAATTTCATTCTCTCTATTACTTTGGTGACTAAAAATAAGTTTTTCTCTTTATCACCGCTAAATTTCAAATTATCATATTAACCTCCAAGAAATATTTTACGTGCATTTAATTGTCTGATCATTTTGTTTCTGATAAAATAAGTCATCTGAAACTCTTTTGAATGCTCTACAGCATGTTGTACTAACAGTCAAATTACATCTGCGATTAGACCTGTTTCTGTTATTCTTGACCATTATGTATGAGTCATGACATGTCCGAAATATTTAAAATATGCAATGAATAATCATCATTACTTATTGTATTACATACCCGGCGGCTTGCTTAAATCACTGGGCTACCAAAACTCCGATCGACCAAAATGCTTAAACAAATTCTGCATTTCTTATTGTTGTAATCGTGCAATTATATCAGATGACCAATGCATAAACTTGCGTGCATATTTAATTAGTTTCCCACTATATGCTAAGCAATTTTCGATGGAATTGAGGAAAAAATGTACAGAATTGGTCCTCTCCTCATATGCAGCAACACTATGACAAATGATGTACTTCAGATTATGGCTTTTATGTGTAAATTCTGTATGAAGAAATATTTTGGAACTATATACTCTGAAAATTTCAGTAAAATATGCTTACATATTATCTGAAATAAAGCTTTGTTATTATTATTAACTCGATGAATATAGTCTCTGTTATTGGTCTGGTCATCCACTTATTTGTGTCAGCTGGCATAATTCTTAGTGTCTTATCTAATTTTGTAATAGAGACTCAGTTCTACTATGTTCTAAAAGGTTTCAATAGGCATATCATTAAAAAAATGAACAGAAATGCATAAATTCTAGCGAATAGAATTCAATTTTAATTATCAACAATAATCATAGGGAATAATAAAAAGACGGTTGAAGCGAAGGAAATTTTCTTTTCGATGAAGTCATCAACTAGACTGTACATTCGTGTATTTATGATAAATGGGTCATCCACTGATCGAAACCATATGTTTTCTGTGTGAATTCATTCAATGCAACAGCATAGATGTCAGCATACCGATCCATTATCCAAAGAAGCTGTTACTACGTTGTACCTTCAACGTCTACTTCAGATTCAACGACGAAATTTACAGGCAAACAGATGGCGTAGCAATGGGCTCTGCATTGGGACCCCTCTTGGCCGACTGTTTGATGGCGGGCCTTGAAAACAACTTCTTGTCATCGACTATTACTGACCTGCATCATTACAAGAGATACATTGATGATACTTTCATCATTTGTGATGGGAACCTGGAACTTGAAAACTTTCTTCGAACCCTCAACAGTGCCCATAAAAACATCGACTTTACTCTTGAAGCTGAATCCGACGGAATGTCCGCTTTCCTCGAGTTACAAATGAGAAGAAACACCAACAACCCTCTGAAAAGGTCAATATACAAAAGTCCTACATGGAATGTACAATTCGTCAGTTTTCAAAGCTTCGTACCCCTAAGCAGAAAGAGGAACCTTATATACGCTCTTCCTTCGAGGATTCAGAAGATATGCAGCAAGATGATTGACGGAGAACTGCGTAATCTCAGAGAGACCTTGATGGAAAACAGTTTCCTGCCTAGGTTCAAAAACAGAAATCTAAAGTCAAAGAAGAAGATGCTTCTGCTTAGTCTAGAATTCAAAGGTGACACTGAAGCAAAAATCCTTCGGAAACGCCTAGGGAAATCTCTGAGGAAAACATACTTCTCCTCAAGCCTACGACTAACGTTTTCCTCTAAGAAACTGTTCATCCAGAACGTGAAAGACAAGCTGTCTCATTGGGCCAATTCAACGTGCATGTACCAGTTTACTCGCTCGTGCGAAGCTGAGTATATCGGCCATACCATGCGCCAACTTGCGAAACGCGCTCGTGAACACTATCCAGCCTGGCTAGTAAAAGGAGAACGAAAACGCATGTATATTTCAGTGACAGAACATCTGGTCAAAACAAAACATTTAGCGCCTTTTGAAAAATCCTTCAAAATCGTATATAGTATTCGATCAAACTTATCAAAGGGATTAAAATCAAGACATCTGGGTATAGCAGAGGCACTAGCCATACGAAAGCTCAAACTCACATTATGCATCCAGAAGAAATACGTTCAACTCTTACCCCTGCCATGGTCATTATAACCAGGTTTTCTTCTAATAGTGACTATCCCATTGCCTTTCTTTTCCCAAACTTCCTGTCTCTTTTGTTATTTCTACGTTTCTAACCCCTAATTGCACAATATGTCAATGTTCTCAATAATTATGATGCTACTTTGTTTGATTTTTACCTTTCCTCCCTGTTTATTATGACACTTTAATTTTTAATTGTAATTTTTTTCATTTTACCCTTGACCAGAAATTATTCTGGAACTTTCGCACCCATTTATTATAAATATACGGATGTACAGCTTAGTTGATGACTTTGTCGCAAAGAAAATTTTCTTTGCTGCAAATCTCTTTTTATTATTCCTTATGATCGAATGTGTATATTCCCCGAATCCTTTTTGTTAAATTTAGGGTGGTAGTAGAGGAGTGGGCTGTATCGACATCTAGTTTTGAAAATATTCAGGAATGACTTGTTTGAGCATTTTGGCAGCATCACTGATTTGTGAAATTACATTGACTTTATTGGACTGTTTGCTAACGAAATCTCAGCATGGATGCAAAAGACTTGAGTGTCATTTGCCAAATTATGGCATTCTTATGCAGATCCATCTCTACTCCTCTACGGCTATGAAATATGGTCGTTGAAAGTGGAAGACCTGAAGAGACCAGCTGTCTTTGACCACAAGTGTTTGCCTCCTAACTTCTGTGTTATTTGGTATACTAGGGTGAGTAATCCTGAGGTTATGCTTAGAGTTTTCAGTAAGGAAGCTAAGTTAATCGGTAAAGTTGTGAAGTTACGTCAGTTGACACGACTGTTACATTCGTTGTGAATGCAAAGCCATCACCTTCCTCTTCCATAGTTAGTTGACATAGGATTAGATTGGAAAAGAGCTAGGGGTGTTCAAATAAAAAAATAGCATTAATCCATGAAGTTTTTACTGCTGGTGTGAGTCACGTAAGGAGATTTTGGCTGCCTGCCTGAAGCCATTGAGATGCAGAGAATCAATGACTTCAAACTGTTGGCGATATTATTAAAAATTGTTGTCATTGGCGTAAATGTTTTCTCTCTTTGTGTTCTAGGTATATTTAACTCTAATTATTCTCCAAGCAAAGAGTAATTTACCCAAATCCCTACGTACCCGACTCATCTGTATTGGTGAAGCTTTGGCTATCGAAACAGAAAAGCCAGATCTCTGTGTACAGAAAAAGTTCGTTCAAGCCCTCCAACTTTCATGGTCTTAATTCCTCTATGCTAAAGTATGGTAATCCCCAATCATATTTTAGCTCTACCAATTTTTCATTTTTTCATTTTGTCTATTCAATTTGTATACTCTTCCTTATTACGTCAATTGTTACTATTACTATTCTCACTTTGAACTGTCCCCGGTATTATTTCACTTGTTCCACTTGTCATTCTAAATCAATTCTTTTTTTCATCTTTCTTGCTTCATAAGAGTTTGCCATATAGGTGATAAGTCTATCCCTTCTTTCGTATTCACTGCATTTGATGTGGTTAAAATGTGCAAGGCTTCAGAAGTCAATCTTTCTTTATGTGAATGAAATCCTCTTCCAAGAATTTCGACATTGTCGAAATTCAAATGCAGTGAATGGGAAAGAAGGGATAGACTTATCACCTATATGGTGAAGTCTTATGAAACAAGACAGATGAAAAAACAACAAACACTCTATGAGCCTCCATGACCTTTTAAAACATGTAGTATCATGTTTATCACGTATGAATTCACGTATTTTCCATATGACAAATAACACATACACACACACACGCGAACAAATCTAATCTTTACAAATCAACTATTGTAGAGTGAACACAACAACAATTTGACATTAGTCATTACAAATATATGTGAGGACTGCTTACATATTTCTATTGGTAAAAAAAATGTCCATGGACAAATGACTTTCAAATAAACTGACTTCGATTTATGTAAAACTATTTTGACTATATATTTTGATGATTAATAATAATCCGAATAAATCTGCTGAAGAAGCTGTGGCTTACCCGGCGAAACGTTCAGAAAAATCTTGTTTTGATTTTCTTAACACGTAGGGATTAATTTAAATAATTTATAATGAATCAATCTGACTCGGCACTCAAATTATTCCAGGAAGTTCGTAACACTTACGGTCTGGAAACCTATAATCTTAAATGTATTTCGCCTACATATGAGTGGGCATTCTAGTTAATTGATAGACAAATTTCAATTAATTGTTGAACAACAGAAATCATTCACAACTAACTGCGTCTATCTTCATTCACAGTAAGCACGGCTAATTATTTATATCCTGTCAAAAAATAAACCAGTGAAGATAAAAGATTATAGGGTCCATACTTTACCTCCGACAAAGTTCTAGACGCATTTTTATCAATCACACCGTACTTCACTACTAGTAATATTGCACATATAAAATCCTGTTAACAATGTAATAAATTTGACGATAAACATACAAGGAATTTATTCTATTTTGAAAGCTACTCCATATTACTGTACACAAAAAGAAGAACAGGTTGTCAAGATTCCTTGAGGAGTAAACATTTATTGAGTGAAAAAATTAAATCAGCAGTTGTAACTTAGCTCATACATACCATCTAAATAATAGAGAAAAAACCAATTTAAGAATTTACAGACTAAATCATTGAATATACAAACTGGTCAGGCTTTAGGATACACAAGAGTGAAATTAAGTAAGAATTACAGAAATCTTACAAGTATAAAGAAGTTAATTATTGTTAAGTAAAATTAAGAACAAATTTCACACTGTACATCATGAATGTAAGTGAAAAATATGCTTGTCACTGATATTATCAGTTATTACCAAATAAATCATGTATTCTTTATAGGCTTTTCTAACAAAACAATACGTATACACACACACACACACACACACAAAACTGACTGTATAAAAATAATAATAAAGTTTGCTCTAATTTTCTTTTTACATGAAGAAAACGAATTTGCATTCTTTTTATTGAAAGACTTGGTTTCTATGGTTACTGGTAATAACAAAGCAGTTGAACTAACCAATCACATTTTGAATATATACAACATTTAAATATCTGTGATTTGTTAAAACAACAGATAACCTTGTAGTAGCTGTCAGTGCCTTATTAAAAGGGAGATAAATAACTATTTGGCAAAAGAAAGTAAGCAAAATATTCATCTATTCATAGGGTATCTTCTTTCTGATCCACATTTGTTAAATAAAAATGTGTATAATAAAATTATCCACAAAGTATATTTTACAAATTTACAGGTTGAATAGGTTAGCTTATATTATGACGTTGATAACTCCATACATTTTAATTGTGTTTTGTAAAGTTTTATAAGTTCTTGTTTAGTAATGAATGTATAACGAAGTGACTATATTTTCAAAATGAAAGGAAATGATTTTAAAAAATCCAATCAGTTAAATGATTTTAAGATAATTATAATAATAAATGTCCAACTAGAGATTACGTAATGGTATTACACTATCGCGATTCGTGTGGACAAAAGAAGCAAGTCCGCCCACTACTACTTCCCTGGCCGGCCTTCAGTAGAGACTATAAATTCACGGATTTGTATTATTACCTTTCCTAATTTTTCTGGTATCCAATGTATTGTTATGTTGATGCTATCGAACTGTAATCCACTGGTATTATTATTAATTCGATGTTATTTAAACAACGTTAATGTTGTTAATATCACTAATTCATTCACTATAATGTGTATTTATAACTGTAAAACCTGATGATGAAGTTATCGAAAAGAATATTCCTTATTCAATAACCATTCTTTTGAAAAATAAATAGTTTTAAGTTTCTGGTTAATTATTTGTGACATGGGTTCGAATCTCAGAAGGGACATGAGTTCCTTCAAGTTTGTAGATATACCTGATGACTGCCAACTAGCACGAAACCTACGTCAAGCAATGCTTCCAGGCGATTGCCTATAACCATCTAATATCAACAATTCAATTCACAGTGGATGGTGGTGGAGAGCCACCTAGCATGGTGGTCACATTGCAAACTGATAGAATTCAGTTTGCACCAAAGATAGGACCAGACACAGGACACTAGTTGGTGTCCAATCAAAAGAAGAAAATATCGCTTTGCTAACCTTCAAAAATCGATAATATTATCATTAAAACACGTCATTTGCTTGGTATCACAATTTGACTTACAAAGCATCATTACTCACACCAACCAAACGTTTGGTGTGATTCTATGTCCTCAGTATACACTCAGTGGTCTTGAAAAAGTTTGGTTAGGTTGAATATTTTGGCTTTCTGAGATGAACCATCGTGAGTACACTGTTGATGATCAAGACATGAAAGAGGTGAAACTGTTATCTGGTGTTTAGTCTACTTCAGTGTGGTAGGCAGATGCTAATGGTTAATCTGAACGTTTTATTAATTTTTCATATCAGTAGTATATAACCTACTCACATGTATACCTCGCACACATTTTTATTGGCTTCAGTCACTGATGATTAGGCTGATTAGGCATTTTCATCAGCTCTGCCTTCTTTATGTTCACTTGAAGTCCTGTCTTCGACTGCTGCCTTTTCTGTCATCCTGTTGGTTTCCACTTGTAAGTTTTCGATTTTATGTGACATTAGACATGAATCGTCCGCGAAGTTCAAGTCTGGCGCTCGCCTATCCGTCCAACGTATTCCTATCTTCTTTCTCCCCGTCACGCGCTGCATGATTCACTCCACCAAAATCAGGAATGTCATCGGTAATATTAAGCAGTCTTGTCCTATTCCTGTCTTCACTTCAAAAGCTTTACAGAGTTTTCTGTTCTGAGTCACTCGACATGTAGAACTGTCAGATAACCGTTGAATGACGTTGATAAAGACTTGATTCCCTGCTTAGTGTCGAAGCAGTTTCAGAATTACTTAGCAGTCTAGGCTGTTGAAGGTCTTTTCAAAGTCAATGAAGTTGGGGTAGATATTTGACTACTATTCTGTGCAATGTTCGTTGATGATGAGTAGTACTGCAAATCGGTCAACATAGATGCGACAAAATGGGCACTATGGACTCGTCCGCTATTCATCATCCACCAAATAACATCATGTTATTCGTCAGACATCATCCAAGCATCCATACTAGCAGCCAACATATTAATAGAGACCGGACATTTCAGTACGGTATAAGCAAACAGGGCGAAATAATAACAATAATAATAATAACAGCTTTGTTCCAAATAGTATTTGTGGTACAGGTACAAATGTTATCAGTAATTCAGCCGAGTTGTCACCCCAACTTCAAACTCTCATATATCTAAACTGTTTGCTACTCTAAGAAAGTAATAAATATCACTTCATGTCAAGAAAAGTGGACACTCACTTTCGTACTGTTAGAGATCTTATTAAATTGTTCTTAAAATACGCGGCTTTTCTTGACATTAATCTCTAAGGAATAGCCAAGTTATGCAATAGATATTATTAGTAATTTTATTCCTACATAACCGATTACAATAAGGTAAGAAAAAATGACAAAAAAAAAATAGTTTTAAAATGTTAAATGTCTGTATGAACATGAAAGTAGATGAATCAATTACTTACATGCTTGATTAACACCTCTTCGCTGACTATATTTTGTGGCAATTTACGCAGACATTCCATTAGTTTATCGAATGAATTCAATCTATCCCTCGATTGTGAATCTCCGAGTAAAAGTTCAAATATAGTTAATGCAATGCGAAAAATAACTTTCACACCTGAAATGGTATGAAGAAAACAAAACAAAAGCAGTTTCAAACAGTTTGTTATACTAACTCATTTAACAATTATCATTAATAATGCAGTATATTTAAGAAACTTTGATACTGTAATAGATATTCAATTCAATTTTAGATTTTTCCGTCGATTGATTGGACCAAAGTGCTCGGTCTCAGGTTGACATGTCGGTTTCTTGTGCAGATGCTTCAACGATGTCTGGGCATGTAATTAGAAGTTAATTGGTGGATAGATTCGAAGATAACTGTCTTGCTCACATTCTACTCTATATCTCTAGGTAGAACATATTTCTCTACTAATCTTTAAATTACTTATTCACTCGATAGATTATCGAATTCTTTCCGAATTTGAAAACAAATATCTCTCAAATTTTATAATCTGTTTCGTTTGAAGTATAATTAATATAAGACGCAATTATTTTTAAATTCGAAAATTAATTTCTCACTGCAGCAAAATGTATGCTTCAAATAATTGTGTGTTTGACCGTGAACTATCTAAGAAATTATTCGTACGCAAAATGAAATGAGAGTTAGTGTAATTGATAATAATAATAATAATACCTTCAAAGAAAAACATATCCCATATACGAAGAACTGTAGACCACGGTAGATTACGCGTGTACAAGCACATGAACCAGTCGACAGCAAAATATAATGGTTCTGTCTTGCATTTCACCTTTATTTTTAAAAGTAATTAAAATATATTAAAATAAATTATAAAGTGAATGTAATCTTTAAATTATTTCACGATGATTTCTTTTGAAGTACATGATATACTTTAAATTATCTGCTTCCGTCTACCTAAGACACCATATATCAATTTATCCCCTGCATATTGAAAAGTACGCCAATCACGCATGTGTTCCGAGGTTCGATCCCCGGCCGACGCACTCCTTAACTTAGTTAAGCCAGTGCCAAGGCCAGTAAAGAGAGAAGGTTGGCCGTGAAGCTAGCAACTCCACCCCGTAAAAACAAACACCAGTGCTAGGGAAATTTCGAATTCCCCACCTTGAAGCCCTATGTTCCACTGGGAACGTAAAGGAATAAACTATTTTTAATATTATTACTATATCAAAGCTTACTATCAGTGTTCTTCAACGAATTTAATAGTAATAATAATAATAACAAGTTAGTTTCTATTGCTTTTTTATACAGCATAGTAAAAAATCAGAGGTTCAGCATGCCTTTAAAACTATGCTGCCTTAGTAAGGAAACAAAAATACTCAGTGCATAACTTCCTTACTCATTGTTCCAATATCTATATATAACTTACTTAACTAATATAAAAATGTTGCAAATGTCGACTTTCTTAAAGTGATTATAAACCTTTACGTTTTAGTACAATTCTACTTAAAGTAAAATGAATGTGTTACAATGGAACGAAATCTTTCTCTCATTTTCTTGTCCACTTTAACAACTCTTAGTGTCACTGTTTTAATGATACTAATAAATGGCAAAGCATACTTAATTCTTATTGCATCCTAATACTTTACGTCAAAATCAACGAGCTATTCGCTTGCCTATCGGTGGATGCAAAGACTGGAGTGACATTAGCTGATATGATAATCGTTAGCCAGAAAATTTCGATAATTTTTAAAGCAGAATATAAGTTCATTAAAGTAAAATGACTGGTAACGGTTAATCATATTTCAACATTGCATCTTCTGGTGATGTTTCTTTTACAAGAAACAAATACTACCTGCAGAGATACTTTTCCACCCTTGTAATGATTAAAGACTTGACCTAGACTGATAGTATAACGCATATTGCCAGGGTGTTCAAAAAGAAATTGTAAAAAAGTATTTCCATAATAGCTTAACGTCATCCTTCCTGATATCGGCTCTCGCTCTACCTATTTATTGTCTAGATCGAACGGAATATGATCTAATATTCATGAATTGATTGAGTCACCTAGGGTAGCTCAGGCTATATGACTGGTGTCTCCAACTTGTCAAGAGTCAGTGGCAGACGATATACGACATTTCGCTAAGCTATTTAAATGCAAAAGATTATCAGTGAACTAGAATTTATTCTGTCTTTGAATAATCTAGCAGCACGTCTTATACTGTCAACCTTTTTGCTGATGGAAGTGTGTAAGCGGTTATCACTTCCTGTCTGCCTACACCTTGGAAATTTATTTATTCCTAAAATACCCAAAACAGAAGGTACATTCGCTTTCGGTCACTGTACAGTACATGGAAAAACTGCTTTTTTGAAGTGGTTTTTGGAGTTTTACCCGTATGAGGATCTTACTGTGGACTACGAACCTCCACAAAATAATTTCGAAAGTATAGTTTTCAGGGTTGGCCTTTTCTAACCTCTCTCTACAGAGCGGAAAGGCCGTATTCCTGACTTTCCGGTCGTCTCAGAGAAGCTCCTTACTCCTGCTACATCGCCATTTGCACTGAGAATCTAAACATAGTGTGAGCAACTTACGCTGATGGTAACTGCCACAAATCCAAACGCTTTCTAGAAACCCTTTCTAGTATGGTTATATCTTCAGGGACATTCGTACTAGCCAGTGTAGCTCATCGGGTCATTGTGGTTTACATGCCCAACTTTCACACAAGCTCAGCAGCCAGGCCATCGCCTTCGCCATTGGTTGTAAAAGAATCCAAGGTAATCAAATCAAAATCTGTAATCATTCCATGAGGTTTTTGAACTGTTGATTTCGTCCACAAACGTAGGAAGGTGTAGACTGCTTGGCTAGGATCCTTGAGACTCTAGGAACCAATGGCTTAAAACTATTAGCAATATGGCTCAAAATCGTTCTTATTGGCGCAGTTGCATCCACTCTCTGTGATTTTCTAGATCCACTGAATTCGTGTGATTACCCAGTTAATTATTCTTTCTTCAACCACTCAGTCATACTGAATTAATTACTACACTTTACCACTGGTATTTCAAAGGTGATTCAAAAGTGGCTACAGTGAAATAGACATGTTCAACCTTCATTTTCTCTTACTTTCTATGGTGTTTGATAATCATCGTTATCTGTTTTCATTGTATCCGATATTATTTTTATTTTGACATCTTTCTATTCACGTTTTACTATACTGAGAGGTGACTCTGGTACTTGCGATTCTATCTTTGTCTAATGTCCAAAATAGATGAATAGAGTTACCCATGTATTAAAAAATGCCACCAACCTCAAGTGTTCAAGATTGAAGCATTTCATTACAACAGACTGTGGGGAGAGAGCAGTCAGGAATACACTGGATTACCGATGAGAAGACTCTACAAGATATGGACTTTGCAAATGATGTATGTCCGATGCCACACAAACTCGAAGAATTACTGGCGAAAAGTAACAAACTGGAAGTAGAAACAGTGAAGACAGGACTTCAGATGAACATAGAGAAGACGGAGCTGATGAAAATAACCAACCAACAGCAACAACAACAACAACCAGAACCAATCACCACCAACGGGAGAGATTTAACACAGGTTACTTCCTTCACTTATCTACCTAGGAAGTATAGTTTCAGCCACAGGTGGAACGGATGAAGATGTCAAAGCTGTCAGCCTGAAACCAATTTGAAAATCTTCTGCATCGCACTGTGTCAGCATAAAGAACAAAACAAATGTGAAGTCACTCACTTCTTCTATATGGATCAAAAACGTTGCCAGTATGTCACGGAAAGGATTTCCAACAAGCTACAGACTTCTATCAACAACTGCCACCTTCGCTGGCTCCGTACTGGAGATCGAATGGCCTACTGGTCAAAAAGAATTAGCAACAAGAAACTTTTACTGGGAAAAAAACCAACCAAGAGCCAGTTGCTCAACAAATATATACGAGAAAACGGAGATGGATTGGGTATACGTCCAAGAGGCCATCGAATGATATAGCGCTCCAGACCATCACTCAAGGGGAATTCCAATAGGAAACGATGAGTGCATCGTCCTAGGGTGACATGAAGGAGATTGTGTAAGGGCAGGATGAGAGATGATGGTCAACCGTGGACCAGTGCTGAAGAGAACAGCAGAAAATAGAACAAAATGGAGATGTGTTGTTGAAGCCCTATTTTCCACTCGGAACCCAAAGGAATAATAAATGGTATAAATAAATATAATTAGAACATTTCAGTATTGTGGTAGTTCACCTAACACTTATGTAAAATAATCAGTAATTTCTCAATATTTAATTAGTTTCTAACTAAATACTCAAATTTACGTAATAATTGAAGAATATCATACCTAATGTCGTATACTCATAAATAAATACATCGATGTTGACAGTGACTGAATCTGTCACCTCGTCTGAGATTTCCATTTCATGTCAGTAACCAATTAAAGTTATAGTCCTATGTATTCCTGTATAATTCTGGATTATAACACTTAACTGACACAGAGTACGGTAAGTAGCACTACATATCTATTTTTATAAACATACCATATGTTTGTGTATCTCCGGTTGATACTTCTTCACTAAAGCAAATAACATGTTGAGTTCAATTTTAACACGTTCCTTTCAAACAACAAATAAAAGAAAAATAAATTTTTGAAGTTTTCATTACAAATAAATCAAGTCACTAAAAACCAAAAAACTTATTTTTTTACTCTTCTCTTGTAGAAAACAGTTGAAACCAACAGTCATACCTCCGGAAAGATTTATTTCTAAAAAATACTGAAATGCAACACATTTGAATCCTAGACGTAATAATGTCAATTCGTTATAAGGCCTTCAGGCAAAATCAATCAAGTCATCTGTAAGATTTAGTTTACCTACAAATGTTTGTGCGTCGGTGGCAAAGCAGTTAGGACGCTCATCGACCATGCACGTGGTCCGGGGTTCGATCCCCAGCCACAGACGCATTCCTTTACCTCTCTAAGCCAGAAGTAATGCTGGTAAAGAGGAAAGGTTGGGCATGAGGCTAGCAACTTCATCCTGTAAAATTAAACACTGCTACAGAAACTTCAAGCCAATAGCTCGAGGCCCTATGTTCCACTGGGGAACATGAAGGAAAAAAAACAGATGTTTCAGTTGTGACACACATTAATCACAATACAGAATCTGGTCTTTGTGACAGTTAGAATGCTGATGACTTATCATAAAACGTGTTTCTGAAATACAAAAAGATTACTGTTATATGACCGAAATAAATACAAAGCAGCTCTCATATATATACCGAAGGGTAGTGCTGTGTGAAACAAAGTTTTTTTAATGAGTTGCATTTAGATGCATATAAGGAGACAAAAATAACAGACATGCATAGTTACCCCAAAGTGTTAGGCATTTACATGATGATAATTAACAACCACATGACAGTCATAATAAAGAGGTCAAAAGTTATATTTTGTGAAAGTTATTTACTGCAGCTGACACAATAATATGTCAAGCAACTGATTTCAGTTCACTAGTGACAAGTAATCGATTTAATTATAAGTTTGGGAGAGTAATAATGGGAAGTTATGACGTTTAGGGTTCACCAGTTCACGTTCAAGAATAATTGCACCGCAGCAACACTGAAAATATTGTGCCAATTTAACTTAGTGATGGAATGTGAAAGACATAGGCTATAGATGGACCTCAAACTCTTAAGTGAATGTTAATGTTTCCATTTAGAAAGCTGTACATCCAAAACTCGAACTCTCACAAGTTTACGAGTACGTTCCAATGAAGAGTTTAAAGTTAAAAATATTCAGCTATTTAGCCCAACCATTTTGTTCGAATACCAAAGAGATTCTCACAAGAACTGACTTGAAGATGAAGGAATCCCTTTATTCACAAAGTAAAGCAAAATATATGCTGTTCACTTGGAAAGAAAGTAATGTTAAAAATTAAAACATTAAAAGTGCTGCAAAATGAGTTTCTAATTATATAAAACTCAGCTCTAATGAGTCAATTCATACACTTTACCATTCCTGGAGAAACTATTGTAAAAGCTTATTAATATACCCAATCAGTCCCACAAACGCTATGGCTATTCTGCAGCTGGTTTCATTCTTGTTAAACTGTTTCATAATAAATGTTTATAAAACCCTTTAGCTGAATGATATCCACTTGAATTTAGCAAATACATACATAAATACTTAATCATCACAATTATCCAAGCAAAATGACACACTTCATTCATAAAGTAAAAATAAACGTCTCCATAGCAGATAGGGAGTGAGGAAAAATACTCGCCGAAGACGTTGGCTAGTGGTCGCGTTATGTCGTGAATTGGCATTAGAGAGAGCTCCAGTGGCTTAATGTTCTAAGTGCCCACCTTATAACTAGAAGGTCCTGGGTGCGAACCCTGGTGGGTGCATACTGTCGAAGAGTCCCAAACTAGACTCACGAAACAGCTGTCCAGTAATCCCAGGTTTTCCAACGGTTTTCTAACCGATGTCAGTTCATAATGAAATTCTGTAACCAATTAATTAAATTCCTACAAATCAATACTTGAATATCCATAACTTCAAGTCTACGACTTTTGGACATACAGTCTGAAGTGAAGGTATTTTTCAGACTCAGCTGACTTTCTCAGTATGTAACACTGATAGTCAACTTACATCCTAGTGCTGCTTATTGCTGTTTGTACATAACAAATGCAAGATATACTGACAAATTTTTAATTTATAAGTGTTGGTTTGCAGGAATTTGATTCGCTCCAAGTTAGACCACGAGCTGTCTTCAGTCAGAGAACCGTACAAAACTAGAGTGTGCTGAACAGCTGTTCTGTCCCCGTTTAAGAATCTTCAGTGGTATGCGCCCATAATCACACCAGAGGTCATCTGTTTCGCCTCACAGCTTAAGGTCAAGGGTTCGATCCTAGATGGAATCATGCATGAGTACTTTCGAAGAGTCCCAAACTAGAACAAAGAGACAGCCTAGTACTCCCTGGTTTTCAGTGGTTCTCCAAATAATATCATTTCGTGATCTAACTTGAATTTTGATCTCTGTCCCTTAAAGTTACATTGTTTCATTCCCCTTAAGTTCCCGGTGGAACATAGGGCTTCAAGCTGGGGAATTCGAAGTTTCCATAGCAGTGGTGTTTATTTTTACGGGATAGGGTTGCTAGCCTCATGCCAAACCTTCCCTCTTTACCAGTCTTATTACTGGCTTAGCGAGGTTTAGGAGTGCGTCTTTCGGGGATCGAACCCCGAACCATCTGTGTGGTTGGCAAGCATTCTACAGCTGTCCCACGAAGCTGAAGTTATAGCTGTAATTAAAGTTCCTACAAATCATCGATAGTATCTCGCCAAATGGTCCAATTTTCACTAATTATGCATATCAGTAAGGAATTCAAACTTTCCAATTTACATGATGAACCGAATTCCGTTAGGGAAACTAACAGCTTTAGGCTATGATGCAAGCCCGTTGACCACTCAACTCCTGGAAGAGAATCTAATCGCCTATGAATTCTAACTTCTGACAATTTTGTGATATACAGCACAACGGACCGAGAATGTCATTGGTGAGTATTTGCCATCACACTCAACTTGATGTAGCCTATTAGTCCCTATAAACAAACGCTTAAAAATATAGACATTCACCAATTTATGAAAATTAATTAAACTGACTAGGCCATCCCAATAAATTAATTTTCTCTTTTGACTGGGAAATGAAAATTTTCTATGAACTTATAGCTTATAGTTTATATCGTTTTTGACATAAATCATTATCATGTTAGTTACATAAACTGTAAAGATCATAAATTCAGATATACATGTACACTAGATTCTAAAAAGTATCATTCTTAGATTGCAGTTTTATTTCTTGATGTGATGTCAGACTTTTAAATGAAAATAACAGTGAATCGATAGTTCGGTGGTACAGTGCTCTCCGGTCAAGCACGAGGATGGAGGTTCGACTTCTGGCCAGCTCACTCCTAAACATTGTCCATTTTGCTGTCTGTCTGTCTGTTTTCGACATAGAACTTTGCACAAATGTGCGGAAGTTCAAGTCGCCACATTCCGTGTAGCACGCGAAGCAAGAGAAGAAAGTACAAGAAAAGCATAATAGAAACAGTGAGCAGAGGTGTGAGACAAAGGAGTAATAAAGAAATACAAAACAGTTTCATTGAAGATCATAAGTCACAGGGAGTGGATGCATCTGCGCCACTGAGAACGATTTTGAGCCATGTCACCAATTGTTTCCAACCATAGATTTTTACCGTCCCGAGGACCCCAACAAGTCAGGAAGTCTACACCTTCCTACGTGGCTTAGACCAACTGTTGTGGATTTCATTGACTGAAGCCAAGTTTTTGTTTGACCGCCGCTAGCTTTTTTCCAGCCTGACCCTATATCCGCTAACATAGCTCGTCGAGGGAGGCGATGACTTGGCATACGTAACACATGTCCTAACCATCTCAGTCTTTGTAGCTTCACGACTTCGTCGATTGATTTCCCCTGTTTACCTAGAACTCGACGCCTAACCTCCATGTTGCTCACCTTATTATGCCACTTTACACGGGAAATAGAACGCAGGCACCTATGATCAAAGACAGCTAGCCAAGCTCTTCATGTCTTCCACTCTCAGTGGCCAGGTCTCACAGCTGGCCATAAAGGGGGACGGAGCGGACTGATGAGCAGTACACCCGCCCTTTGGTCGATAGTCGAACATCTCGTCTACGCCAGAGTCGGCGTAAACTAACAAATGCGAAACGAGCCCCTTGTATTCCATTTTGCTAGCTCATAGTAAGTCCAGATAAGAGGGAAGATTGGGCGTAAGGTCAAAACCCTCAACTAGTATAAACAACAGGATGGCTACTGAAACTACCAGGTCTCAAGCATAGAGCCCTATGCTCAATTTAGCAATCGAGCCATGAAAAATATCTATGTGATAGCGTTTTCCACAAATTTTACGAAAGTCAATACCTTTTAGAAAATAAGAATTTTTTATCGTCACAGATTTTTTTACCATACTAACCACGCATCAGGAGATAACAAGTACCACTCTGAAGACTGCATTATGCACAGAAATATATTCAGTGATTATTAAGCCATTTAATGTGACTTAGTTCTGGTTTGTGTTGAAGACAGTTTACTTGATGTTGACTTTTATTATATGGCAAACACTTCTCATTAGTAAGTTCATAGTACTCACTTCTGTATTTGAGAATAAAAATGCTATACTCTCCTGTTAATTTAACGAACTAATCATTATCGAAACTCATTTCAAAAGGTAGTCTGTTGTTCATCTGTGGAGATATTATCGTAAATATAAAGGTATAGAGTAACTTACAAGACCTGATTTAAAATAATCAACCATGTATCGGTCACACAAACAGACAAATGTCCAGAACGCTTGTTCTTCTGGGATATGTATAAGCAAGGCTGCAGCGATTGGTGCGTGAGCTTGACAATAACCGATTTCAGGATGCATTTGTGAATACGCTTTGAGAACATTGTATAAAGATTCTTTTCTGGTAAATAAACAGGAATTATATAGGTTAATAACAATGCATGGTAGTAATAAAATATATGAACTTGCAACAATGGGTAAAGCGTTTTGATGAGGCTTACATAATAGCATAGGACTGAGGTTTCATGCTTTATGCGCAAAACTAGCGAACAACTTTTACACAGCAGTATCTTTCAGTATGTATATCATACACTCATTTCGCATGGTACTAGGATGTCTACTGAATAACTTATAAACTAAAGCTTTAGAATACTTATAGAGCTAATTAAGTTTGCCTTTTTTACAGCCTCAAAAATGAGATCTCTAATAACCACCATATGTCGGAGAAAATCTCAGCTGAACTATTTACCTCTGGACAAAACTCTAAAAGTCCTCTAGAGTTTGTTAATTTGCCCCGGTTGTTTTCGTAACAGTGTTTACATCTTTCTTAAGATTTGAAGTCGTCAACATGCGTGTCCCACTCTTAGATTCAATTTGAATGATAAATAAATATAACTTATTAATCAGTCTATATGTTTCTTAAAGAAATCCACTCAAAATATGAAAAAACCTTCCAGGGCTTTAACTCCAAAAGTTACACTACTACTAGTTTAGAAACTCTCATAAATAGAAAGCAGTATTTGATGGCATAACTTCAGGTAGAAACTGCTAGATAACTTAACTGACCATGGATAAGAAAATGTCAAAACCAACCATTGGAGAATAATGAATGCATGAAAGACTTCTGTGACAATTACTACAAATATTCTGTAGTCCATACCATAGACGAATAAACAAATTACTATATAGTAGTAATGAAGATTATCGACATGGAGCTTTTTGAAATGTCAAAATAGCAAAAGCGTATTTGGTGGAAAAACTACTGAGATGTGGCCTTAATGTACAATTCAGACTCAGTGGCACTATTTAAAGAGAAAAAAGATGAGATCGTGATGTGATTCATTGATAAAAACATCAAACCGAAACTGTAGAGACATGAGACATCATGCGTGCCGAAAAAGAAACTTTACATGGATTTTAATTTCAAGGAACCTAACCTGATGTGGCCATACGAGAGGAATTTCAAGACCTTTGAGAAGAATATTATTCTCAGCAATGTTTACAGTAGTATTTTCTGGTAGTCCAATGGTCTGAAGAAGCCTGAAAGAGAAAATCTTGCAGTACGCACCCACCACGGTTCAAACCCAGGAGTCTCAAACTAGTACGAAACAGCCGTCCAGTACTTCCAGGTTTGCCAGTGGTTCTCTGACCGATGTCAGCCTATGATGAAATCTTCTAATTAATCAAACAATAATTCCTACAAAAACCAACACTTGAAAAGAAGATCTTTCATTTTACCACTTCTCTGTGCATATATCAGTCCAACTACTCCTATGTAGCCAGATATATTGATCCTTCAACACGTATCCTGTCTAAAAGAGCTCAAGAGCTCCTTCCCTCATGGTTTCAGAAAGTTAGTAACGGCTCCATAGGAAGTGCAATAATTGAACATCTTGTCTACAATAATCACTCTACTTTAACAATTTCCTCCTTCAGAGTGATCGACAAAGTAAAGAACAGCCTGACAAAGACAGTAGGCTTTCGCCCTCATTGCACTACTGAATTTTAATCACGCAGATACAGAAATCGGAGCTCTATACACAAAATAGGATTCAGTAACCACTTCTACTATCGTGATAATGACCCTGTTGTTCTCAAACAACTTGCCGTTTTGTTGCTTAACTCTATATGGCTCTTGAATTTCTTTCAAACTCCTAAGCAATATCACACTGTCCTTCGTTTCTGTGTGCATTCTGATTACAACTCATTCATCAGATTATTTGTTTCAATGTATAACTCTAACACTCTTATTCAACCTCTTTCATGTATTGTTTAGTATTAGCAACTAAGATTATAACAACTCATACGTTTCGTTATTATTGTCTTTTGTGAAAAAAGTTGTATGTAAATGTGACTGTACAAGAAAAGAAAACGAATTCGCCAAAAAGATCCCTTTCACTGAATTATCACGTGCTTTGCTTTCTTTCTTTCTTTCTTTTTGGAATACTCTGTTTGAAGCGTTATTTCATAGCATAGACAACATGTGCTCACCCGTTGGTATTGTCCGATCCAAACATAACGTGATTAGATAATTGTCTGTCAATATCTAGTTTGATTTGTGATATTATTTTTGGATCACCTGGCATTTCCAAAAGTCTCTGTAGCAATAAAAAAAATATTAAATAGTGATTAGTTAGCAATATTTTCACCACAAATTCTTATTCCTATCATTTTTAGAGAAAAAGATTTCCCTTAGTAACTATCTGTCTTGGCCAACCAACCAAATCAAAATTTCACCAGAAAAACACAAAGAAAATTATTTAAAACAATTAGTTCCCTTTATGAATTTAGATAAAGCAATAAGAAGACGTAATTTGTCTGAATCGTGTAATGTATTTGCGCAACACATTTCGAACAATCTGATCACACACGGACTTATCATAGGAATATATATATAAAAAAATTAATAAAGAGGTAAGAGGTGAGAAAAATAGACTTAGGTCAAGTTAAAAGGACATATTCAAGGTCAAAAAATAAAAATGAAGACCACTAAACCAAATAGCAGAGGTAATAGTACATCTGCTATGGTATCAAAGTCGGAAATTAAATACCTAGGCGTTACTCTATCTTCTGATCTTTCCTGGTCGTCTCATATCTTGACGATTTCCAAGAAAATATACCGTCTTACCTTCTACATCAAGAAGTTAAGGCATTCTGGTGTAACCCAACCCTTACTCCTACAATTTGTTAACTCCCGTATTCTGCCTATTATTCTCTATTGCTCCCCCTTAGTCTTTCCTGGGCTATTGAAGAAAGACTATACCTTATTACGTAGGATGTTAAAGGTTGTCAGCAGGGTAAGCAGCTTGCCACCTAGCCAGCTAGTTAATATTCTGGTGGACAGGCATATGGACTCATGTAAAAAATGGGCGAAATCCATTTTATCTGACTCACAACACCCTCTACATTCACAACTGTCCCCATGTATCTCTTCAGGGAAAACAAGAAGCCTATATAGGAAACTATATGCCCGCACTAGTAAGTACAAAAACTCATCCATACCCTACTTAGCTCGTGTTCTGTGCGATAAAGAATGCATCAGGCATGAAACCTTTAACTTATTAAATAGTCAGTAGAACCAATGGATCTTGTCTTTCCAACTCACATCATTTATAGGTACAACGTTTTCTCGCTCTTTCATTCTGTATTTATTTTTGTTATGTGCTGTTTTGTTTCTCTCTTCCTTGCAAACTCTACTTAAAACATTCTTGTTCGTTCTTTCACACTCTGTACATCTCGAACATTTTGCTATCGCTTACGCCAGTAAATATGCTAGTAGTATCTACTTTTCAAACACCTTCAAACACTTTAATTTTGGCTTTGCTACCGACATACTAATATGTTGTTGAGATAACTTTAAACTATGTAGAACTTTATTTATTGTTAATGTAAAAAAAAAACTGGATGCAATATTGTAGTAAAATGCTGAGAATTCCATTCTGTATCACAAGTACTGATTTGGAATAAAGCTTATGTTATGTTATGTTAATGTTATGTCCTCTACGTCTTCGTATCCATGAACATAAACTAGCCATAAAAAGACATGGCATCTGTTCCCTCATATGGCTGCACATAGACAACCATGGAAATCAGTTCAACTGGGACAATCTTCATATGTTAGGAAGAAGGAACACCAGGAAATCCAGAGAATTTTTGGAAGTCTGGTTTTCCAGTGAATCAGCAATTAACAGGTACACTGACAGATAAAAATTTACTAATCTCATGCACAAAACGTCAAACTTCGAAGTTTGACGTTAAGTCGTTTTACAGCATTTGGAACACCAAAGAAGTTGGCTCTCACTAAATGCAACTTTTATGCAGTTATAACGTGTAAGCTTGCTTTATTTAATTATTTCTTTCAGCCGTCATTGTCAGCAAGTTCGTTTCAGCTACAATGTCTGATGACGAAGTTAAGAAAATTTTAAAGAAGACTGTGAAGGCCTACTTCCATGACAAAAGGGAGAGCCGGTGAAGAGTAAGTAAACATTTTTTGTTAAATTAATGCTACTACACTACAAACCCTTTCATGTTATAAATATCAATTAACTAAATTGTATTTTTATTTTTTAAAGGTTGCAGCTGACAATAAGAAGAGTGACCAGAGAATCTCTCCTGTAAGTTACAATTTAAACAAGTAAATGCTGTAGAAATTACTGAAACTTAAGGCCTTTAAGTGTGAGTATTTCTATTATATAGACAAATAATTTTAGTTATACTCATTAATGAAATAAAATTTTAAAGCTGAATAAACACGTTAAGCATTTCATTATTACAGTGTCAATTGTCTGTATAAGTGCCAATGTGGATTACTACCTTAATCAGGAATTTTTCTTTCTTTTCAGGACAGTTCAATGGATCTACTTGACAATGGGGAGAATTAGTACAAGTGCAATCAGATATCGAATTACAATGCAATCATTCTACTTGTGTGTATTAATAGCCACAATAACTATTCACTAATCCTAAAGAATTAATTTACCGAAATCTTGTAAACTGTTTTCCTTTAACCCCCAAAAAAAATCAAATATAATTTTTTCCGGTAAAAAACCTTGATTTGACTTTTGAGTTTTTTGACGTAATCAATATAAGGCTATAGTAAATGAGTGATAAGGGGGAAATTTACCAGGTTAACGGTGGATTATTCGTTAAAATGGGGGACAAATTATGGTGGTAATATTCGATTAAAGAATAGAGAAATTCTAGGGACAGTATGCGGAAATTATGCGATTTCTGGGGACAAAATGGCGTAATTGCGGTGACATAATGGGGAAACTGTGCGAATTCTGGGGACAGAATGGGGAAAATAGGGAAATTGAGGGGACAAAATGGGGAAAATGGGGTAATTGTGGGGACATAATGGGGGACAGAATGGGGTAATTGTGGGGACATAATGGGGAAATTGAGGGGACAAAATGGGGAAAATTGGGTAATTGTGGGGACAGAATGGGGAAATTGAGGGGACAAAATGGGGAAAATGGGGTAATTGTGGGGACATAATGGGGAAAATGGGGTAATTGTGGGGACAAAATCGGGACAACGGGACTTTACAAAATGGGGAAAAGGCGACAAAATGGGGACAAAGTGGGGTGAATGGGGAAAATAGGGAAAATCTTACTATTTCCCCATTTTATCCCCATTTTGAACACGATTTTCCCCATTTTTGTCGAATTGGGTCAGTTCAAGCAAACAATCAATACCAATATAAGTAGACTAGAGGGTGTGAAGACAGACAAGAGCAACCAGTCACGCCCAAGGTCACCGAGAGAGATGATTTGTAAACTAGTGGAGAAACTTGATAGCCCACTTAAAATTGAAGTATGCGCTGAAGATGTTACCTCGTAGAGCAATTAAGGCTTCTCAAGCAAAACCTCCAGCTTAGAGAACACAACTACATCCAAATCATCTACTTGAGCTGCAAATCTTCCGCATTATATCTATATTGACAACCCAACATTAACCAATTATACATTCATTAATACGGAACTATTTGGTATAGTAGATTCTATACCACTGATGAAATAAGATTTGTAATCCCAATTTATAAACCAAGTGTTGTTATTGATTTTCATGATTTAAAGACCAATCTATTGTCTCACTGATCAGACGATTCGATACCATGTCTTTCTACCTCAACAGGAGTTAATGTTTAGAACTTAAACTATAGCGTCAGTTACTATTTAACAGTGGTGAAAGTGGAAACTAACTAAACATAAAAGCTTTTTTTTTACCAATATCTAGCAGAAATCAAGTGAGGAATAAAAAGTTATCTAATACGTTAGAAGGTATTGCCTTTTATTGATAGCTAGTTAGTGTAATGATTTCTAGAAGATCACATCACACTTAATTGTGACCGTATAAGTTATTCTTCCAGGGGGTATGAGTTTTCACAAAATACATAAAAATTTCACATACATGACGAAAAGACAGAATTATATAACCCAGTGGGTGTAATATACAACAGTGTATTATGCTTGGAGAAAAAAGACTGACTTTAACCCATAAGTTGTTTCTTTCTAAACATTATTCATTAAATGTTAAGAAGCCATTTATTGAACACTCTTGGCCTGTTGCAGTTTACTAAAGAATTATACTTTTATTCTTAAAAATGCAATATTAGTTTGACAGCTGAAACTAAATCCACTTGGGCTTTAGTGGCTTTAAAGTTAGACTCAATAATTAAGTTCATGCGGGGAAATGGAAATATGTATACACTGGCACCCCAATGATATTCTGTGTGTCAAAGAACCGAGAAATTACATTTACCTCGGATATAAATCAGCCTATAACCTAGACTCAGAGCTTCTGGCTTACTGCTTTCAAAATTCCCTGGCAAAGAAGTTCTACGAAGTTACTTCTGTCATCTAGTTCCTATATATTATCCAGTTTAAGATGAGACTTTTGTGACTTGAACTTAACTATAAGTTTTCTGAATTTGTTACCACTTGTCTACAGTTCATATTTCCAAGGTAGTATGAAAATCATGAAGAAATCTTTCTTAGATACTTCATTAGGTAAGGTGGAGTAATCAAATGATTATAAAGCTTTTAGTACTTTCTCAAAAAAGTTAGTTCTAGGAGAAAGGTTTGGGAAGGTATTGGTCACAGTCTGACTGCATCGGTGGCACAGCGGTTAAGACTCTCGCCGACCATGCACATGGTCCGAGGTTCGATCCCCTGCCGACGCACACCTGATATCAGTGGCCAGCCTGCAAAATCTGGGCTACCTGTATCACATGCTGAAAATTCCATACCTGTACCAAATGTACTGTGTGGAATCAAGCTATAATCAAAATAAATAAAAGTGAATTCGCTAGTACTTGAGGCTTAAAAAAGAATTAACAATTTTTCAATTCTATATGAGCATAGTCCGATGTTAAAGAACTAACTGTAACTCGTGTATCAAAGTTCAACCTTTAAAATTTTTTACCTAGTTCTTAATCACAATAAAATTGATAAAAGCTAACAAATGCTAATTAGTAGCACATTTCCTCTAACTTTAGATCACTTCACTAAAAGGAAAGAACAATTTATTTAATTTGCATACCGTTTTAACTGTTAGTGTTTACTAGATTTTGTCAGTTTACAGTATTATTCTCAGTTGATTTGTCTGTCATTTACTACCCACCCTTCTGTTCCCCTGCTTGTAAACACTCGTTAATTAAATCAGCTAATACATTTTAATGATAAGCAACACGACATTTGTTTGAATTTTAGTGGGGAAAACATGATTCAAAATTCATTAACCTTTACCTGATACTTTCCATATTCCTGATTAAACAAATGATAACTTCCACAGAGATATTGCCAAGCTCTTGGACGGATTGCTGGTGGAATACCCTTTCGACATCGATTTCTTACTTTATTCGCTTTAAATGACATCCACTTATCCCACTCAGTAAGCATAGTTTGCCATTTTATTTCTTTTAGGCGAATTTTTTTTAAAGATTCATCAGAAAGTTTGCTGTGTGCATACATTTAATTAACATATAACATGAACTCACCTGCTATCTGGTTCACAGAACTGTACACCTCCAAAAAATCCGTAACGATCAATAACGTCATCGTTGTCTTTCTTACAATAACAATAAAACACTAGATATCTAATCCTAAACTCACTGGAGATGCCTCCATTTCATTAAGCTGTGCCTGATCTCTTCACTGATACATAAGTGAAATATATCACATGACTATTCAGCTGTTTTTGGCTGTAAAATACGAGATAAATAAAGAAATTTCGAATGTTGATACTAACAAGAGCCTTAATTTATCAATAGAAAATGTTTTTGTCAATGCCTTTTGAGAAGTGACTTACAAATATGACTGGGCAGAGTGAGACATTAATTATTTATGGTAGTGTGAGTGGATGGACTCACTTAGAAATAATATTAAGTACACAATACTCTGGCATCTTGTGAAGAATAAACAATTCAGCGCTTGCTTCTAATATCATCTCGATGTCTTACATATAAAAAGAAATATAACCATCTTAATGGTTCTAGTAGTGGAACGACCTTCTCCGTGATGAATCAGTCGTAATTGTTCCGGACACTGACAGTGTTCTCGACCCTTTACTAATGGCATACAGTGGTTTTACATGGGATGTGCGAAAAAGTAAAATTTAAATTCACTAAGCAGATAATCTAAATTTCGACTGAGGAATTCTTCAACATGATTACAAGGACATCGTTCAAAATCTTCCAGTGGGACAAAGCATTTTAGTGAGTTAAGGTGGTGATTAAAAAAGATAACATCAACGCAGTAGAACATATCATTGTCCTACTGTAATTGTTCATTAAACAAAAGAGCATACAGTTAAGGATTTCGCGCGCAACAGTGTATGCAGATGCAAGCTAAGCATAGAAGAATATTGATTGATGCTGCAAAAAATCATTTCTTCGCAATATGAAAACTAACCCATGAACACTGGCGAGGAAAGAAGTTGTGGAAAGCAAACAGATATTAATTCCAGAATATACGTTCACACTGGATCCCGCTGTCAAGTCAGACTTCATCTGCTAACTATTCCTGATGTAATTCTGGAACTAATATGGATTCAGTTCAGTGCAGATGAAGCTCAACTTCCCAATAATTCCAGTGGAGAAATGTGGCCAATCAAAGGAAACCTACTAATGATAGGACATGGTGACGTCTTTTTGGCAGATGTTTACTGTGGTCCACTTAAGCCCTTAGGTATTTGTATTTTCTCGAGGGATACCGGTAATGGGGTAGGTACGGAATGTAAAAACGACCTACTTTTACCACGTGGATATAAACTAGGTCTTGCACTCATATGTGCAGTTCGTGATGCCCCAGCCAGAGCCATAGTTACACAGACGTTCGGGAACATTTCTGTGCAAGAATACGATAAATGTGAAGCCATACTTCATCTTATTATTGATCTCATGGTTTTCTAATAACCTGCAGTCCTTTATGGACAGATGTTGTATCCCAAAGACAAATGTAGCGTATCTCACTGTGTTGCAAATGTATACTTCTGGTCAAATTCAGCATGTATTCAATTTAACTGAAGTTCATTTTCAGATAATCTCGACGAAATACAGACTGTTCAATTGCTCAACTGGACCGACAGCCCTCAGAGCCTATGCATTCGTCACGTCAAGGTTATCAGCCAGTAAGTCGAAGTGGTACCAACCAACACGCTGTTATTCAAAGCTATAATTCACAGTAATAAGAAACTAGCCATCAGGTCAACTGCTGACATTGTACCCTGAGATTGTCCAATCCGGATCATGGTAGATGCGGACTCCGAACCCAATATAGCTGTTTTTCAGAAGTCAGCCAAAACTCCAAAAGTTTCAAGTTAAACTTATGTTTAATCTGTAAATTCATTTTTCAGTGACTACATCAACCGCCTTCAATTAGGTCAAACATCACATGAAATATTAAACGCGAACGTGCAAAAGGAACAGGAGTAAGGGCAGTGACACTGCTGACTGAGAACTGTATAAGAAATGCGTTGGAATGTTTGGAATAAGTTGAGGATGTGTTGTTAAGGATAAATGTAGCTCACAGCATGCAGTGTGATGTCACTCTTCTAGATACCTTCAAAGTGCTGAAGTCATCATGAAAAATGTCAAATAGTTTGTACCGCTCAACTGACATTGTTTGAAAAGTAACAATCTGACAATAATTACACTCAGAATGCTGCCGAATATTTAAGCTGTTCCGTAAGTACTGGCACTTTACCCATTGTTCGTAGAACAACAAATGTTTTACTAACTAAAAGACAGCATGCTGCTCTGATATTCATTTGCAAATGACAAGCAAGTTTTAAAATTTCATCAGAAGTCGTCATTCGTAATTCGCTATTACTATCCACCATAGTTTTCGGGTTTCTCGGTGAAAGTGAGGATGCATAAAACAACTATGAAAAAAATTGCAGTGAAGTCGTTTTGGCAAATAAATTTGCCTTCCATTTCATCCTAAATTTATGTAAGTCAATAATTACTGATCTTGGAATTCCAGCCTCAAGTTAACTTGATCCAAGATCCACAACGATAATATTTTGACCCCCAAATCGGAAAAATTTAAATCACTGAGCGAATAATAATCAAGTGGTGGGCAAAGCGAATATTGAATAAAAATGTGGTAATTTTGGTCATACGACAAGATATTGACCATTATATAAAACAGTAAAATTCGACCAGGATCTAACAAACACCTTGCCACTACCTCACTAATCTTATCATTCACCCAAAATCTGTCTATTTTAAACATTATTAAACTATTCTTTCCCATCTTTGCACGAATGTGTGGATATCCAATATCCTGATTACGAGCTAGTATAAACCAGTGATTTCTTTGAGCTCGCTTCTTGATTGTGAGGTAGAGGTTCCAGATCTTCGGTGAGCTTCTGCGTAGTAAGTGCCGCCACTCGACTGCTTTAGCTCTGGTAGACTCCAGGAGGAGTGGTGCGGGGGTTGGTCGAGATGTGGTTTGTAGTATGCAGTATGTTAGGACTGTATTGCTGCCGTGAATGGAGTTTGACCTAACTCCCGTTGGTCATTCGGTGTAGTCATAAAAAGCATAATAGTAGTAATAATTAGAAGAATAAAAATAATGGGTTGTAGTGTAGATAATATAGGTTGAGATAAGTGGAATAATAAAGGTGACCTAAGGAAAAGATAGAGTGAGAGAAGGCAGAATAGGTCGCGGGGATTTAGTTTGTACGCTTATCAATTGACAGTGTGGTTTCAAGTTTTATGGGGATAAGCCATTGAGACACAAACCTTGCATTCCTGCATGATTGTCTAGCTTCCGCTCAAAAATCTCCAGAGAAGGCGCTGTAGTCACGGCCGCCGGTAAAGCGTTCCAGAGACGGCAAACACGAAGCGAAAAGAAATGTGATCGTACTCGAGTCTTTGGTCTCTGGTGTGCTATCCTTAGCGGGTTACCTCGTGGAAGCCTATAGTCACTTAATGGCAGGATGCTTTTATTTGGGTGGGCCTGGTCATTTAGGATTTGGTAGACGGTGATGAGGTCTCCCCTGAGCCTTCGGTAACTAAGTGTGAAGAGACCTAATTTCTTTAGTCTTTCCTCATATGATTTGTTGCGGAGGCCGATCACCCATTTTGTCGCTCGTCTCTGGACACTTGGATCTATTACATACAAACGGTTGCCCCTTAATATATCCATTATTCAAGTGATAATTCATGCAGCTGCTTTGCGACTTACGTATAAATTGTATTCTGCGAATTCGGAAGAACATAGTTTGAAGACATCCTATTTTAAACAAGCGGTGTTAGTGTTGTCATTGTGTACGACCTTGAAAGTCGTTTAAGTTACGAGCTGCAAATATGACGGGAAAAACATTTACAGATAGATACATAATTTTCTCCAGAAAAAGGAATAAATATATTTCGCCACACTCGAGGAGTACATTCAGTCTTCATATACGTCGACTAAATAAGGATTTCCCGCTGAAATTGTCCGTCACGTCCAAGGTCACTGGTGGAGTGAGACCCATCGGATTTTCCCTTGAGACCTAATATATAATGTTTTGATCAAAATCTTTTTCATTTGCCGGTTTTTTGCGGAAGGGAAATACATTCACTCAATAATGATTATAGAAGCTTCACTTGTGAAATAATAAATAATAAACGTTTCCAACAGGCGAACACGAAACACAGACTTATACAGTTCAGGACAGAAAGTTGTGAAGCATGAAAAATATTAATTATGGCCACGAAATTTACAGACTTAGGGGTTAACATGTACATAGTCCAGAATGATGATTTCACAGAAGATTAAATTGTTTATCTTCTCTCCTGTCTTCAAACTCTCCGCATTTCTCAGCTCGTTATAGCAATTCTCTGGTTGCACACTTTGAAATTTACAGGATTATCTCACCCATCTCTAAAAAAATTCAACAAGCTCTCAGCAGCATTCACAGTGGAGAGAATTCCGTCGAGGAATACCTCTTGAACTGCACCGCTTGAATAAATTGCTAGATTTGTGGAGTCTGACCTGCTACCGTTAGCAACTGTATTCTTTTATAACCAATTTGTATTAATAACTGCAGTTTACTGTTTGAATACACCTTCCAATTCGGACTTTTACATTGATGTTTCATATAATTCATGTTATTCTGTTTAGTTTCCCACAAATTAACTGATTTGACTGGGGAACTGAATATTTTTCACCTTATCGTAATATTTTCTTAAAATCCACGAGCATTCTTACTTTTTTGAGTGCGCTCGCTCATGTATAAGATCAACACAACGAATAAACCTGCACGAGCATGTCCACTTCGTTCATAAACTCACAAACCAGAGTTAGTTAAAGCCTGATTGGAACACAATCACTCATATACTGATTATGTATATATGACTTCAATTTCCGTATGTGTGAGAACGATATATTTGCCTCATATCGCAGATATTAAGGGTTGTTGTATTTGTCACAGTTAAATCTGGATTCTGTGTCTGTTTCAGTGTGGGAGAATGTTTTCAGTTGATCAGTTAGCTATAGTGTCTTGTCTGGAGAAGCATTGTAGTCAAGTTAGACAACCACAAAAATAGTAAATACTCCGTTGTAGCGCAACTAAACATCATTAGACCAGTCAGCAAACTTTGGTCTTCAACTTTGAATAAGGTAGCAAAGGCCGAACGCGACTGGGGGCCACGTGGAGACTACCGTGCCTTGAATGATACCACTGTCTATGACCACTACATCATTCCCAACCTAAATAATTTCTCCCTTCGGTTGAATGGGAAAATTATTTCCCTAAGGTTGTTTTAGTCAGGGCATATCACCAAAGGCAACCCCCCAGAAATTTTCTTGAGGTGTAGTACCCCTATACCAACTGCAAACATGCTTTTTAATCTAATTTGTTTACTTGTATTATATGTGTACACAGACCGATTTTATATGTATTTCGCAAACATTTGTGAATTTACTGTTGAACATTACCTTGACACAATTTCGAAATTTGACTACTGCTATAATACACGATCGTACTCTTCGCGAGTGCCTTTTGGTTTTACGTTGTGGGCGTCGAGTGGCCACAACGTCTGCGCACATTAATAAAAGTGAAGAAGTACTAGAATATACGTGTACGCAAGTTTAGTCAAATAACGCACGCAACAAAATTGGTGAGCCCGACGACAAATTATTGACCCCGACGACAACTTGTTCATCCCGACGCATCATTACACTTGCTGGATTATTTAATTTCTAACTTTATCGGACCTACATAATAATAATAATTTTATTTTCATATAAACATAAATTTACATGAAAATGCATGCCATTTTTACAGGCACGATCAAGGATGATATAATGTCAAATCTTAAATTGTCTACAAGTTAATAATGTTTCAACAGTTAAATATTTGATACATATATATAATTACACTCATTATCTGAACCAGGCCGTATAGTTATTGAACTGTACAGTTGTCCTCCAGGTTGAGCGGGAAAACTGACTTCGTTTCGTTTTCAACCCGTGGTTGTAGGCATACGATAACACACCAATATTGAGGTAAGTACAACGTTTACAAGGGATTGGAAGCTATTTTAGAAAAGTTAAAGTGCTAAGGTGAAACATTAAAGTATAATAGATTAAGTGAGTGAAATATATCATTAATAAACACATTTATGTAGAAAACAGAATGGGGAAGTAATTAATCCTTAGGCCGACAACGTTCATTTGCAATGTATAATAAAACCAATATATTTTATACTATCATGCGTTCACTTTTGGCTTTAATACAATTATTTTCAAGCCAGTTGTCTTTATTTCATGTCTTTTTTTCTATTTGGTGCACAACCGTACTCTCCAGAGAATAGGAATAGAATAAGTCGAATCAAATTCATAAAGAGCTATAAAATGTTAGGTTTAATGGAATATAATGAGGATCAAGTAAAGACGTTATTAGAAAATAAGTGAGACAAGACATTGTGAAGTGGTATTTAAAGATCTGACGATGGATAGCAAGTTAATTTATAAGATGCCCCATAAATCTGTGCAGATCCCACATGGTCGCATCTCAACAATAGGCTGAGCGAATGGTATATATTTAAAGGTAGAAGCATGATCTGTCAAGGCGTTCATTATTATCTTTTTCAAGATAAAGATCTAAGCCCTCATAAAAATCAGAAATATCTCGAGCCTAAAAATTGCATATTGCTGTTGCTGCAGAATGGGGTGATTCAACTTAGTGACCACCACCATATCTACTGATCAGCTAGAGCCACCCTGTCAGCCACGTCTCGTAAACCGTTAATGCCCTGTGTCAGTCACGTCTCGTAAACCGTTAATGCCCAGCTCTTGCTACGCTCGGGCCCACGCTGTTCCTTGCAGGTTTTCAGAAACGCTTAGTTATAACGGACGAAAAAACCAAAACACCAATTGGTGACTCGTGGATACTTTATTGTTACACCAACATATAAACAATGTTACAACTAAGGTCTGTGAACAAATATTACAATAATGAATCACAATATTACTTCTGACAGTTGTCTCGTGACTTCTTTCTGAACAGCGACCGATGAGACGATGACTGTCGTATTGATGCCTCCGCGAAAATTGGGGAAGTTGGTTTTGAGCAAACAACAATGAATTGATCGTTCAATCTTCAACTCCATTGACACTCCCCGGCAAAAAAGGGATCCAACCCTTTCTTCCTTCACGACCAATACACGTTGACTTGGATGCCATTGCGAGAACCTGGGTCACACGGACAGTGCTGAAATGGAAAACAAACAGGAAAGCCAACACACCACAAGCATACCCACAGCACAATCTCACACATCGCTGACGACCTGCGCCTCCAGACAGAGACCTCCTCTTGACATCTTGCAACACAATCGCCACTTGCTAGAATGACTCTTGCAGAATGCAACGTGACCATAGCACCAACTCATGATACTCTACGCACATCCTCTTATCTACTCACTACCAATTACCACTGAAATCGCTTGTCACTCATTCTGCCTCAGTTCTAGTAGCGGTGATGCATGCGAGCCTCAGTCGTTTACACTCTTTCTCCCCGGCGTGTCGGACCACAGCTAACAATTATCTCCGTGTGCATTTCATTCCCACCAATAGCCTCCCCGGCGTATACGACCCGTCTGCTGTCTCTAACATCAATCAATTCATTCACGGATGTAGAAGACTAGAAACAACTTCAGAAGTAATCACGACGAAAATTTTAACAAAATTATGCAATAAAAACAAGGTACGAAAACAACGAGTAAACACAATGAATCCAACAAACACCATTTGATATGACACACCACACATATATATAAACAGTACACACAAACTCACAGATCATGTCTTGATGGAATTCCTTTGAAGAATCGCAGGACTTACACCAGTACGCCTACAACCCTTCACAGGTTGACGATTGTAAGTTGTGGAATGTCCGGACACAAACAAGATTAACCAACAATTGCAATAATTGGAACTCACACAATTATTTAACACAAACATATGTACAATCACTACATCAAATGTGGTGGATTCTGACACGACAAACTACCCTTGAAGAACTGTAGGACTTACAGCAGTACGCCTACATTCCTTCTCAGGTTGATGATCCAAGTGGAAGTCGTCCGGACACAAACAGAATTACCAACAGCTAGATGACAGATGATATCAATTCAGTATATACAATATGAACATATGTACAAAATCACACACCAAGCACACACTGCTCATTGATGCGCTACCCTTTGAAGAATTGTAGGACTTACAGCAGTACGCCTACAACTCTTCTCAGGTTGACGCCCTAGGTTGGAAAATCGTTGCAGAGTTCATTTGCTGACTTCCTTCTATCAGCTATATCCTCAAATCTGAACGCCAACACGCCCATGTCATTGTATCGTAGAATATAGATGACGAACAAACACACGACATATCTCATCAACCAAGTGTAGAGGCAGAGTAATTTACACCAAAGATAATAACATTCAAATAGTAACTTGAAACTAGAAATGCCTTTATTCATGCAAGTCAATTTAACAATTACTCTCTCGTTTACACTTGGCTTATCCTCACTAAACTGAGCAATATCTTTCGTCCTTTCAAATACACCAATACTATCATAGTCATTGCAGAAGATACTTGAGTTGATGGGCGACTGTTTCATTGTGGATGACAACACCAACGACGACTGAGTGACACAAGTTGATGAAGTTAGCGGTGGATCAGAAGCTGTTGTTGTTCGGCTTTCAGAAATTTGTCTAACTGCAAGACCACCACCACTGCTGACTTCTACTATCAGCTCAGGTTTAGCACTATCATCTGATGATAGGTGGGCTACATGCTGATCAATCACACTGACGGTCTCACAAGTATGAATGCCTTCTGCAACTGCATCTGCATTTATTTCTACTTCACGTTCAAGTTGTACAGAACGTTTGTTCAACTTAGCAGTAGTAGGCATAAACCTCATCTCATCATGA